TTGGTTGGTGGCCACTGTGTGGTGGTGGGTGTTGGTTGGTAGCCACTGTGTGGTGGTGGGTGTTGGTTGGTGGCCACTGTGTGGTGGTGGGTGTTGGTTGGTGGTCATTGTGTGGTGGTGGGTGTTGGTTGGTAGCCACTGTGTGGTAGTGGGTGTTGGTTGGTAGCCACTGTGTGGTGGTGAGTGTTGGTTGGTAGCCACTGTGTGGTGGTGGGTGTTGGTTGGTGGCCACTGTGTGGTGGTGGGTGTTGGTTGGTAGCCACTGTGTAGTGGTGGGTGTTGGTTGGTGGTCATTGTGTGGTGGTGGGTGTTGGTTGGTGTCCACTGTGTGGTGGTGGGTGTTGGTTGGTGGCCACTGTGTGGTGGTGGGTGTTGGTTGGTGGCCACTGTGTGGTGGTGGGTGTTGGTTGGTGGTCATTGTGTGGTGGTGGGTGTTGGTTGGTGGTCATTGTGTGGTGGTGGGTGTTGGTTGGTAGCCACTGTGTGGTGGTGGGTGTTGGTTGGTAGCCACTGTGTGGTGGTGGGTGTTGGTTGGTAGCCACTGTGTGGTGGTGGGTGTTGGTTGGTGTCCACTGTGTGGTGGTGAGTGTTGGTTGGTAGCCACTGTGTGGTGGTGGGTGTTGGTTGGTAGCCACTGTGTGGTGGTGGGTGTTGGTTGGTAGCCACTGTGTGGTAGTGGGTGTTGGTTGGTAGCCACTGTGTGGTGGTGGGTGTTGGTTGGTGGTCATTGTGTGGTGGTGGGTGTTGGTTGGTGTCCACTGTGTGGTGGTGGGTGTTGGTTGGTGGCCATTGTGTGGTGGTGGGTGTTGGTTGGTGGCCACTGTGTGGTGGTGGGTGTTGGTTGGTGGTCATTGTGTGGTGGTGGGTGTTGGTTGGTGGTCATTGTGTGGTGGTGGTGGGTGTTGGTTGGTAGCCACTGTGTGGTGGTGGGTGTTGGTTGGTAGCCACTGTGTGGTGGTGGGTGTTGGTTGGTAGCCACTGTGTGGTGGTGGGTGTTGGTTGGTAGCCACTGTGTGGTGGTGGGTGTTGGTTGGTAGCCACTGTGTGGTGGTGGGTGTTGGTTGGTAGCCACTGTGTGGTGGTGGGTGTTGGTTGGTAGCCACTGTGTGGTGGTGGGTGTTGGTTGGTGGTCATTGTGTGGTGGTGGGTGTTGGTTGGTGGTCATTGTGTGGTGGTGGGTGTTGGTTGGTGGTCATTGTGTGGTGGTGGGTGTTGGTTGGTGGTCATTGTGTGGTGGTGGGTGTTGGTTGGTGTCCACTGTGTGGTGGTGGGTGTTGGTTGGTGGTCATTGTGTGGTGGTGGGTGTTGGTTGGTGGTTATTGTGTGGTGGTGGGTGTTGGTTGGTGGTCATTGTGTGGTGGTGGGTGTTGGTTGGTGGTCATTGTGTGGTGGTGGGTGTTGGTTGGTGGCCACTGTGTGGTGGTGGGTGTTGGTTGGTGTCCACTGTGTGGTGGTAGGTGTTGGTTGGTGTCCTCTGTGTGGTGGTTGGTGTTGGTTGGTGTCCACTGTGTGGTGGTGGGTGTTGGTTGGTGTCCACTGTGTGGTGGTGGGTGTTGGTTGGTGTCCTCTGTGTGGTGGCCACTGTGTGGTGGTGGGTGTTGGTTGGTGGCCACTGTGTGGTGGTGGGTGTTGGTTGGTGGCCACTGTGTGGTGGTGGGTGTTGGTTGGTGTCCACTGTGTGGTGGTGGGTGTTGGTTGGTGTCCACTGTGTGGTGGTGGGTGTTGGTTGGTGTCCATTGTGTGGTGGTGGGTGTTGCCTGGCACCCACTGCACATCTGAGCTTGCTCCATGGTTCCCCTCCAACGACATATGTTGATTGTAGGTGTTTGACACCATTCCGGCCGTTGCTATATCTATATTTATATGCTCTGTATCGAAGTCCCTCCTTCTAAAATTTTTTAGAATGTCGAACCTGAGTCAGTTCTGCACACACTTCCTCATTTGACTGCTGGTTTGTATATTCTACTAAGTGATTTTTAATTCCATTAAGTTGTTTGACTTCAGCATCGTAACACATCGTAAGATAATTCAACTGACCTCGTAAGATGGTTCAACTGACCTCGTAAGATGGTTCAACTGACCTCGTAAGATGGTTCAACTGACCTCGTAAGATGGTTCAACTGACCTCGTAAGATGGTTCAACTGACCTCGTAAGATAGTTCAACTGACCTCGTAAGATGGTTCAACTGACCTCGTAAGATGGTTCAACTGACCTCGTAAGATGGTTCAACTGACCTCGTAAGATGGTTCAACTGACCTCGTAAGATGGCACAACTGACCTCGTAAGATGGCACAACTGACCTCGTAAGATGGCACAACTGACCTCGTAAGATGGCACAACTGACCTCGTAAGATGGCACAACTGACCTCGTAAGATGGCACAACTGACCTCGTAAGATGGCACAACTGACTTCGTAAGATGGCTCAACTGACCTCGTAAGATGGCACAACTGACCTCGTAAGATGGCACAACTGACCTCGTAAGATGGCACAACTGACCTCGTAAGATGGCACAACTGACCTCGTAAGATGGCACAACTGACCTCGTAAGATGGCACAACTGACCTCGTAAGATGGCACAACTGACCTCGTAAGATGGTTCAACTGACCTCGTAAGATGGCACAACTGACCTCGTAAGATGGCACAACTGACCTCGTAAGATGGCACAACTGACCTCGTAAGATGGCACAACTGACCTCGTAAGATGGCACAACTGACCTCGTAAGATGGCACAACTGACCTCGTAAGATGGTTCAACTGTTAAATACGTATAAATGTTGTGATGGTGATATATGGCGACTAGAGTTGAAGGTCGAGGGAACTGTTGTTGAAGGAGAGAGTAGAGTAGAACCAGCCGCAGTGCCGGATGTGAGAGATGGCACTGTGCACCCAGAAAGGAGGGCCGGATGTGTGAGGTGGCACTGTGCACCGGAGAGGAGTGCCGGATGCACTGACACACAGACACACGCGCTGACTTATCGCCCACACAGGACGAAAACACTTTGCCACAAAGCTTTTCTCTCCATTTTGTTTTTAAATTATGCGCGGAAATACATAAACACACGTATTGACTCACACATAAACACACATGCATATATTCACACACACACACACACACACACATTATATACATTATTTACATACATTATATGAGTACATTATATATATATATATATATATATATATATATATATATATATATATATATATATATATATATATATATATATATATATATATATATATATACTAGCTGTACCCGGCCACGCGTTGCTGTGGCTCAGCAACACATGTGCGTTGCTGGGCCATAGCAACCTTCCCCTGTCCCCACGTCCCCACCATCCCCCACTCCCATCCCCTCGTCCTCCCAACCATTCCCCACTCCCTCGACCCTTTGTCCTATCGGTGAAGAACCTTCGGACATGTCCGTCCTTGTCCTCCCCACCATTTCCCCCTCCTCCCATCCCATTCTCTTTCCCTCCATCCTACACTCCACCATCCCCTCGTCCTCCTAACCATTCCCCTCCCTACCGTCCCCTCGTCCTGTCCACCATCTTCCACTCCTCTGTCCCCTAGTCCTCCCTACCATTCCCCCCTCCCCAGTTCCCTCGTCCTCCCCACCATCCCCCACTCTCCTGTCCCCTTGTCTGCCCCACCATTCTCCAATCCCCTGTCCCCTCGTCCCCACCATCCCCCACTCCCATCCCCTCGTCCTCCCCACCATTCCCCACTCCCTCGTCCTATGCATTCTCAAATGATCTGATGTTCCCATCAGAAAATTGGAATCATCAAATGATCTGATGTTCCCATCAGAAAATTGGAATCATCAAATGATCTGATGTTCCCATTACTGAAATATAAGAAAAACAGTTTAAAAAATGAAATGAAAAATGAAAAAATAAAAAAATAAACTATACTCGCGAAATGAGCGGTATGGTAAACAACACAGCTCAATTCCACTGCAATGTCACTCAAAATAAGTAAATCAAAATGAAAATAAATCAAAATCTATGAAAATTAAATTTATCAATGCAATCGGAAACCTTGGAAGGAAATCATAACATATTTAGTATTGCGTGTGTTGCTATTACATGTAACAAATGGTGCTGTTTTTCAAAAAAGTATGTTTTTACCTGTCACAGGTGTGGCATCTATATGGTAGGTTTATAAAAATACGCGCATATTCGAATGGAACGTTGTGTCAAGATTTCAAAGCAATCGGTGAAGAACTTTCGGAGATTACAGCATGTGTTGTCTTTACGTCCAACAAATGGTGCTGTTTTTCAAAAAAGTATGTTTTTTTCCTGTCCCAGGTAAGGCATGTAAATAATAGATATATAATATCACGCGCCTATTCGAATGCAACGTTGTGTCAAAATTTCAAAGCAATCGGTGAAGAACTTTCGGAGATTAGCAGGTTTGAACAAACGAACATTTATATTTTTATTTATATAGATATATATAAAGTATATTTTGGTAGCAGTCTTTCTTGTAAACATATGTTGTTGAATATGACCGAAAGGGTAAGATTAATAATTCTAACTCGAATCTTCTCAATATTTCTTACGTTTTTCATCACTGTCGAGGGTAATTGAAAAATTTACTCTCCAAAATTCATTCTTTACATTTTTATTTTTGGTCTGACGCCTGAACCCGTTTCGTAAGCTTCTTACATTTCCAAAGACTAGTTTACACATAACATACATCATACTTATACCCGTTTTGGGTGAGGTGATATGGCACAATAGTTTTAGGTGAGGAGACAGAACACGAATCAACGGGCATGAAAACAGAAAACAACACATTTTGTGGGGACCCAAAATGTTTCCATACCCCATTAATTTGTGTTCTATCTCCTCACCCAAAGCTTTTGTGCCATATCACCCTCACCCTGAGCCCTCACCCTCACCCCTCACACATATATACGCCTCTTGTACCCTCCCCTACACAGAACCACCCTGGCACCTCTTCCCCAGGCGGGTCCTCCCCTGCCACCAGGGCCCCGCCCACAGTGCCAGGCTCCGGTGTGTGAGTGCCAGTCAGTGAGAGGTCTGTGCTGGCCGCTGGCCCCGTGCCAGATACTCCCAGTGTGCCCGCGGGGGCCCCTACCACAACCACTCTCCAGTCCTTGTGTGTACCCCCCAAGGTGGCCTGTGTGTATGTGATAGTGTATGAGATACTTTGTGTAACACCCGTGTGTGTATAAGCTTCGGTGTTCACGACCCATGAATACTGTGAGGTGTTGAATTGAAAATCTTAAGACTCAGTGTTTAGTGAATACCGCTTTGTACAGGGTTCTTAAGATGGGTGATGACAACACGTATGGTGATAGTGTGTATATATATATAATGTTTTCGCATGTTTGCTTCGTGAATATTAATGTGTTTACGACTTCTGTATACCGATGTTTACGGCCTGTGTGTACCGGTGTTTACGGCCTGTGTGTACCGGTGTTTACGACCTGTGTGTCCCGGTGTTTACGACCTGTGTGTACCGGTGTTTACGGCCTGTGTGTACCGGTGTTTACGACCTGTGTGTACCGATGTTTACGACCTGTGTGTCCCGGTGTTTACGACCTGTGTGTACCGGTGTTTACGACCTGTGTGTACCGGTGTTTACGGCCTGTGTGTACCGGTGTTTACGGCCTGTGTGTACCGGTGTTTACGACCTGTGTGTCCCGGTGTTTACGACCTGTGTGTACCGGTGTTTACGGCCTGTGTGTACCGGTGTTTACGACCTGTGTGTACCGGTGTTTACGGCCTGTGTGTACCGGTGTTTACGACCTGTGTGTACCGGTGTTTACGACCTGTGTGTACCGGTGTTTACGACCTGTGTGTACCGGTGTTTACGACCTGTGTGTACCGGTGTTTACGACCTGTGTGGACCGGTGTTTACGACCTGTGTGTACCGGTGTTTACGACCTGTGTGTACCGGTGTTTACGACCTGTGTGTACCGGTGTTTACGGCCTGTGTGTACCAGTGTTTACGACCTGTGTGTACCGGTGTTTACCTGTGTGTACCGGTGTTTACGGCCTGTGTGTACCAGTGTTTACGACCTGTGTGTACCAGTGTTTACGACCTGTGTGTACCGGTGTTTACGGCCTGTGTGTACCGGTGTTGACCTGTGTGTACCGGTGTTTACATGTGTATACCGGTGTGTATGACTGAGGGATATTGTTCTTTGATAAGAGATTGTATGTATTACCGGCACAAATAACAGTGTGGCCATGTCCCATGTATACCCGGTAACTTGGTGTGTGTGTATAACTCATGTATGCCATTGTGCAAAGGACCTATGTATACCAGTGCGGATACTGACCATGTGTATCAGTGTACATATACCCCATGTTTATCAGTGAATATATATATGACTCATATATATACCAGGACCTGAAGAGATTATCGCCAGGGTACTAAAGGAATGTAAGGAAGACCCAAGTAACCCCTTGACTTACATATTTAATAAATTATTACAGTTAAGCAAAGCAATGGAATTGTAGAGAAATCTTTAAGAAAATGAATTCTTGTATGGAATTATTGGCCAATTGACGTAACGTCTTTCGTTTGAAAATTGCTTTTATGGGTAATAGCAAAAGCCATTAGTCGACATCTTGAAGACATGGATTAACAAAGTATTCTCACCATGGTCTTACAACGGGCTGCTCTTATGTGTTAAATTTGCTCGCATTCTGTTCAAGCATATTTGAGGCAGTTGATAGTGGAGAGGATTGTGACGTTGTGTATCTTGACTTTATCAAAGCTTTTGATACCGAGCGTCTCGAAGGACTGATTAGTACTATATGGTGCTATCTCAAGACAGATAAGGGTTACTTAAAAGAAAGCATGTAGTATAAGTGGAGTTAAGTCAGAGTAGGAAACGGTTGTAAGTGGAGTGCCTCAAGGCTCTGTTCTGGGACCTCTCTTGTTTACAATATAAAAAATTTAGGTTCAGTACTGAACAGGAAAATTTGCAAATTTGCGGATGATACAAAAATTACACAGGAGATAAAGAAGAAGGTTAAACTCAAAACAAGATTTTGGAGTGATGCTACAAAATCTTGTAAACTTAGTATCGTATCTAGTAATGATATTACAATACTAGATACGCTTTTTGTGATGGACAGAAGATTGATAAACGATTGATTGAAGTAGAACACTGACAAATGCAAAGTTCTGAGGCAAGGAATGATGATAGTCGCCAGGTATCAGCTGGATAGTGCTCACATTACGAGGTCTGAGTGTGAAAGAGATCTGAGGGTCAGGATTAGTAGGAATTTAAAACCAATAAAATATATGCATAAATATTCGTAATAACTCAAATAGAATATTGGGATTGATTTCATAAATATACGAATATATACATTATAAATATATATATGAGAGAGAGAGAGAGAGAGAGAGAGAGAGAGAGAGAGAGAGAGAGAGAGAGAGAGAGAGAGAGAGAGAGAGAGAGAGATAACAGATAGCAAGAGAGCAAGCGTTCAGCGGGGGAACACATAGGTAACCCCAGCAATTACCAACCTCCCATCAGCCGAGAGATTAAGAAACCTTAAGTGACAGCCTCCAGAGAGCGAAGAGTTAAGGGGCGACGTGACTGAAGAGAACAAGTGGATGAATGGGCATAACAAAATAGGATAATATAATGTCCAAAAGATGGCACCAAGCCCGGGAAGAACAAGAGGGAGAGTAATGGGGGGGTATTAAATATATCAATACAAAGAAGAACACGAAATAATGGATATAAACTGGATACATTTAAACTCGGGAAAGACGTGGGTAAATACTGGTAGGAGAAAGCGGTTGGAGATTTAGGGAACAAATTACTGGTGATATATTAGACTTGGGCTGGCTGCACTGTTTTAAGAGTAGACATATATATGAATACGTTTGTTAGGATATACATAGGAGCTGCCTCGTATGGGTCAATAGGAGCTGCCTCGTATGAACCAATAGGAGCTGCCTCGTATGAACCAATAGGAGCTGCCTCGTTATGAACCAATAGGAGCTGCCTCGTATGAACCAATAGGAGCTGCCTCGTATGAACCAATAGGAGCTGCCTCGTATGAACCAATAGGAGCTGCCTAGTATGAACCAATAGGAGCTGCCTCGTATGAACCAATAGGAGCTGCCTCGTATGAACCAATAGGAGCTGCCTCGTTATGAACCAATAGGAGCTGCCTCGTATGAACCAATAGGAGCTGCCTCGTATGAACCAATAGGAGCTGCATGGTATGAACCAATAGGAGCTGCCTCGTATGAACCAATAGGAGCTGCCTAGTATGAACCAATAGGAGCTGCCTCGTATGAACCAATAGGAACTGCCTCATATGAACCAATATGATCTGCCTCGTATGGACCAATATGAGCTGCCGCGTATGAACCAATAGCAGCTGCCGCGTATGAACCAATAGCACCTGCAAACCTCCTTGTGGTTTCAGAAGTCTCCATGGAGTTCGAGACCTCCCCCCTCCTCCCTGTAGCGTTTCAGAACCCTCATTAATAAGGGTTTCAAAGAAATTTGTGTTATATATTTTCAGAGGCTGCGGGAGTGCCACCACAGTTTACATAAAAGTATCACCTCAGTTTACACAAAAGTACCACTTCAGTTTACACAAAAGTACCACTTCAGTTTACACAAAAGTACCACTTCAGTTTACGCAAAAGTACCACTTCAGTTTACACAAAAGTACCACTTCAGTTTACACAAAAGTACCACCTCAGTTTACACAAAAGTACCACTTCAGTTTACACAAAAGTACCACTTCAGTTTACACAAAAGTACCACCTCAGTTTACACAAAAGTACCACCTCAGTTTACACAAAAGTACCACTTCAGTTTACACAAAAGTACCACTTCAGTTTACACAAAAGTACCACTTCAGTTTACACAAAAGTACCACTTCAGTTTACACAAAAGTAGTAGCTGGAATGGGTCACCAAAAGATACACACGGTCATAGAATCCACTCAAGTAACAACGTCAGTTAATTCATTATGGCGAAGACACAACTCCCTTTGTGAAATTTTTGTTCATTCGCGTATCGCTTCCCGCTCCAGCAATGATGCACAACTTTATAGGAGTCTCGTAGATCACACAGAGGCTGTAGTGCATGCTGGAAGGTCTACACTACACTTGAGGGGGGTCACAAACACGCTAAATGTAAACACTTGAGGGTCACATACTAAATGTCTTCCCATTTTATATGGAGGGAAAACGGTTCTGAGCTTTCCAGGGTAAACTGCTTCACTGTGAACATTATACTCTTCAATTTTTTTTATTCATTAATATGTTCTAATAATTTGTAGTAACAAATAATGTTGTTGTTCTGTAATTTATGCAAGATATCTACAGGCACAAAAAAGCATAAATAAAGGATTAAACGACTTTATAAATCCCAACACCGTTAAAGTTGTACCAATTTACAAGAAAAAAAATTGGTAAAAGAAAAGTTTTAATCATGTGAATTTGTTGAAATTACTACTGTACAACGCCACTGGGGAGTCAGGTCCCAGGAGGCGGACACAAGACCATGCTTCATACACAAGGGATGCTGTATGCTGCAGCCATTCTTATCGTCCATGCTGCCTCAAACAAGGTAACTTGCTTTGTATCTTTCTGCTTTCTTTGCCCCAACAGATACTGATAATGCTGAAGCAGCATTACCAGTAACTGGGATCAATATGACCTATTGTATTTCTCACGAGAAATACAACACATTGGGTCATATAGGACATTGAACGCCCTTACATGATTTCATTTTACACGAACGTCAAATTATATATAACTTGTATTTTTTAGAAATAGGCTTTTTAGTTTATTACATCTCGTTAAATGAGATATATTCATAGCTTCCTCCACATCTAGTAACATTCGTCTGATGATTTTCAAATAATGTTGAACACCATTATAGCTAATATTCATTCAGGAAATATTTTTGTACAAGAAAATAGGACATAAATATGCACAGTATATAAAACAATAACATAGAAGAGTCAATGGGGGGCAAGATTAACATTTACATTTCGGTTTACAATATTGTCTGATTGATGAGTTTTTCTCCGCTGTTGTTTTGATTTTGATGTTTATTGAGTTCTTCAAAATTGTATAAGTCAATTTTGTATTAGTCTGGCTAGATTTCGTAGATATTTAATGTTCAAAATAACGGCTGAATTTAATTGTGAAAGTGTGTGTGTGTGTGTGTACTCACCTAGTTGTACTCACCTAGTTGTGTTTGCGGGGGTTGAGCTCTGGCTCTTTGGTCCCGCCTCTCAACCGTCAATCAACAGGTGTACAGGTTCCTGAGCCTACTGGGCTCTATCATATCTACACTTGAAACTGTGTATGGAGTCAGCCTCCACCATATTGCTTCCTAATGCATTCCATTTGTCAACCACTCTGACACTAAAAAAGTTCTTTCTAATATCTCTGTGGCTCATTTGGGCACTCAATTTCCACCTGTGTCCCCTAGTGCGTGTGCCCCCTGTGTTAAATAGCCTGTCTTTATCAACCCTGTCGATTCCCTTGAGAATCTTGAATGTGGTGATCATGTCCCCCCTAACTCTTCTGTCTTCCAACGAAGTGAGGTTCAATTCCCGTAGTCTCTCCTCGTAGCTCATACCTCTCAGCTCGGGTACTAGTCTGGTGGCAAACCTTTGAACCTTTTCGAGTTTAGTCTTATGCTTGACTAGATATGGACTCCATGCTGGAGCCGCATACTCCAGGATTGGTCTGACATATGTGGTATATAATGTTCTGAAAGATTCCTTACACAAGTTTCTAAAGGCCGTTCTTATGTTAGCCAACCTGGCATATGCTGCTGATGTTATCCTCTTGATATGAGCTTCAGGGGACAGGTCTGGCGTGATATCAACCCCCAGGTCTTTCTCTCTCTCTGACTCTTGAAGTATTTCATCTCCCAAGTGATACCTTGTATCTGGTCTCCTGCTTCCTACCCCTATCTTCATTACATTACATTTGCTTGGGTTAAACTCTAACAGCCATTTGTTCGACCATTCCTGCAGCCTGTCCAGGTCTTCTTGAAGCCTCAAGCTGTCCTCCTCTGTCTTAATCCTTCTCATAATTTTGTGTGTGTGTGTGTGTGTGTGTGTGTGTGTGTGTGTGTGTGTGTGTGTGTGTGTGTGTGTGTGTACATATACAGGCGTATGTTGGGTAATATAAGTATTAAACCACACGGTTTAAGAAGGGTCTCCGGTCAGGATTCATCAAGAGTTTACATGTCCCCCCTACGAAACCTGTACATCACTAATTAATCATGGTGACGTTGTTTACATTTATTAAACGGTTTAAGAGCTCCAAAGCCCTTCGAGTTTATTTATACCAATAATAACCTTTAGGTTGTCAGTTTCGAAGCTAGTAAACCGTTTAATGAACACAAAACCACCATGATTGTTGAAAAGATATACAGGTTCCGCAAGTGGTTGTGGAAATACTTGATATAAACTCTGGTTGAAGATGGATCGAAATGCCGTCACTGTGACGTCATTGGTGCAGCTAATTCCAGCCCCTGGTGTGTGTGTAACAGGTCCCTGGATCACGACGAAGGTGTGAGGAACAGGGCGTCCTTCAGGGCGAGATAAGGACGCTGCAGGAAACTCAGGAGGTGCTTCAGGGAGAGGTCACCGCCTTGAGGGACACCGTCGCCACCTTGAGTGCTCTCGTCTCCGGCATGCTTCCAGAGGACTGTAGTGTTGCGCAGGCTAGAGGCTCCTGGTCCTCTGTCACACAGGTGAGGTAGTGTTCTGGACTTGTTGTCAGTAGTACTCTGGACTGGTTGTCAGTAGTACTCTGGACTGGTTGCCAGTAGTACTCTGGACTGGTTGTCAGTAGTACTCTGGACTGGTTGTCAGTAGTACTCTGGACTGGTTGTCAGTAGTACTCTGGACTGGTTGTCAGTAGTACTCTGGACTGGTTGTCAGTAGTACTCTGGACTGGTTGTCAGTAGTACTCTGGACTGGTTGTCAGTAGTACTCTGGACTGGTTGTCAGTAGTGCTCTGGACTGGTTGTCAGTAGTACTCTGGACTGGTTGTCAGTAGTACTCTGGACTGGTTGTCAGTAGTACTCTGGACTGGTTGTCAGTAGTACTCTGGACTGGTTGTCAGTAGTACTCTGGACTGGTTGTCAGTAGTACTCTGGACTGGTTGTCAGTAGTACTCTGGACTGGTTGTCAGTAGTACTCTGGACTGGTTGTCAGTTGTACTCTGGACTGGTTGTCAGTAGTACTCTGGACTGGTTGTCAGTAGTACTCTGGACTGGTTGTCAGTAGTGCTCTGGACTGGTTGTCAGTAGTACTCTGGACTGGTGTCCTAGCCCACCAAACACACACCGAAACTACGACGTTGGTACAACGTTCGAACAAGTTTTAACACCTCCTAACCAGTTATAACAACCAATATAGCAAGTTGTAATCACGTTCTAATACGTCATAAACACGTTAAACCAAGATGTAACAACTTTATTACAAGTTGTAACAAGCGGAGAATAGAGACAGTTTCGGTTTGTGTTTCCAGGGCTGTCCAGAGACTGGATAAGACTGTCCAGTCCAGCGTCTGACTGATGTCAGAGGCCTGGGATCCATTTCAATGCTGACGAAATGAAACAATTAGTTCAGCACAAAGTCCTGAACCAATTTACCTCAGCAGATCTTATTTTATAAACATCGTTGAGGAAACAATTAAACTTTACGGTTTTTAAACCCACAGTGAGAGGGGGGAATGGCGAGCACAATGCCAACACTAACAGCCTGGTGTGCCGCAGGTGTGCCCGCCTGGACTAGGGCCGCGGAAGGTGCGGTGCGACCAGAAGACTGCGGGAGGCGGCTGGACAGTCATCCTAGCGCGGCTGCCTACCCACCAGCAACCACAGGATAGACATGACTTCAACCGCTCCTGGCACCAGTACAAGGAAGGCTTCGGTGATATTAACGGCGAGTTCTGGATAGGTGAGTACCGGGAGGCAGCTGTGTGGAGGATAGGTGAGCACCGGGAGGCAGCTGTGTGGAGGATAGGTGAGTACCGGGAGGCAGCTGTGTGGAGGATAGGTGAGTACCGGGAGGCAGCTGTGTGGAGGATAGGTGAGTACCGGGAGGCAGCTGTGTGGAGGATAGGTGAGTACCGGGAGGCAGCTGTGTGGAGGATAGGTGAGTACCGGGAGGCAGTTGTGTGGAGGATAGGTGAGTACCGGGAGGCAGTTGTGTGGAGGATAGGTGAGTACCGGGAGGCAGTTGTGTGGAGGATAGGTGAGTACCGGGAGGCAGCTGTGTGGAGGATAGGTGAGTACCGGGAGGCAGCTGTGTGGAGGATAGGTGAGTACCGGGAGGCAGTTGTGTGGAGGATAGGTGAGTACCGGGAGGCAGCTGTGTGGAGGATAGGTGAGTACCGGGAGGCAGCTGTGTGGAGGATAGGTGAGTACCGGGAGGCAGCTGTGTGGAGGATAGGTGAGTACCGGGAGGCAGCTGTGTGGAGGATAGGTGAGTACCGGTTAACCCGAGGCAGCTGTGTGGAGGATAGGCGAGTACCGGTTAACCAGAGGCAGCTGTGTGGAGGATAGGTGAGTACCGGTTACCAGTACACACACACACACACACACCCACCCACCCACACACACACACACACACACACACACACACACACACACACACACACACACACACACACTGCCCAAATCTCAAGAAACACAAATTGGAAAAGGTGCAATGGCATGCTACAAAATGGCTTCCGGAACTGAAAAACAAGAGTTACGAGGAGAGACTAGAGACGTTAAACATGCCGAAATTAGAAGACAGAAAAAAGAGAGGTGATATGATCACCACTTACAAAATACAAACAGAAATAGACCAAAATGACAAAGAGGAATTCCTGAAACCAGCAATTTCCTGAACAATAAGACACATATTCAAGCTAAGAAAACAGAGATGCCGAAAATTATCAGGCAAATTTCTTTTGCAAACAGAGTGGTAGACGGTTGGAACAAGTTAAGTGAGAAGGTGGTGGAGGCCAAAAACCGTCAGTAGTTTCAAAGCGTTATATACGACAAAGAGTACTGGGAAGACGGGACACCACGAGCGTAGCTCTCATCTTGTAACTACACTTAGGTAATACACACACACACACACACACACACACACACACACACAGAGTGTGTGTCAGAGTGGTTGACAAATGGAATGCATTAGGGGGTGATGTGGTGGAGGCTGACTCCATACACAGTTTCAAGTGTAGATATGACAGAGCCCGATAGGCTCAGGAATCTGTACACCTGTTGATTGACGGTTGAGAGGCGGGACCAAAGAGCCAGAGCTCAACCCCCGCAAACACAACTAGGTGAGTACACACACACACACACGTATAATTGTGTATCTAGGCGAGTACACGTCCTACCTTCTACACTCATATTCCTTGAGCTTATGATATACTGTTTTAACTCGTGTGCAAATATGTGCAGCAGTCGTCGGTCCTGATCAACAAGGCCAAACAAATCGTCAATCCAGTTGCTTAACACACGACTAACGACGGCTAATGACGTAGGTGAAGTTTCAACTCAATTTTAAAATATTATAAGTAATAATTTAATATATAATAACAGTTTTTACACGATCTGCCTAAACTGTTATGTGATCAGTGGGAGAAGTTGAAAAACAGGCATGGCGGATGGTTTGATGTGTCGTCTTCTGATGCCGCTAGATGGCGCCACTCGCCAATCACTGGTAACATGTAGGTTAGGCAACTGTCGCTTTATTTAGTATATATCTCATAATTATATCATAATTTTGTATTTGTTTAATAATAATTTGATGAAAAATCCAAATCCAATTTAGATCTGGATGAAGCGGTAATCTATAAGAAGGGCAAAGAGGGCGGAGCCATTATCTAATCCCTTCTTGTGATTGGTTGTTGTGGTGTTGTTGATTTAGAGGCGACGATGATCGTGGGATCGGATACGCCCCGGCGTACCCGTGATGGGTTTATCGCGAAGCCTAATGGCAAAAGGAATGTCACTTTTCAGCGTAAACCTATGTGCCGCGCGGCAAATAATCGCACAGATGCGCAGATGATTGGGGAGCCCTGGGAATCCCGCAGGGTAACAAGCACCGGCGCCGCTCTCACACAGAACACTGGGGGGCAAAACCAAAAACTCGGCCCCCAACTAAAACGCAAAAGTTCATCCAGTGCCCTCCGGCAGAGCAGAAGCCGCCCACCACGGCTGAGGACACACCAGGAGCCCACCACGGCTGAGGGCACACCAGGAGCCCACCACGGCTGAGGGCACACCAGGAGCCCACCAACGCCCGGCACCTCTCGGCCAAGCCGCGCCGGACACCGGCACCCCGCCGGAAGAACCCGCCAGAAAACGTTCAAGATCTATCAACTATCCTGTGACCCAAGGCGACATGTAAGCCAGGCGTCGTAACAATCCGGACCGTTGAATAGGAACGCCAAACGACAGTATCAAAATCCAAAAGCATTTCTACCATCATATGAGAGCACGGGAATGTTAAGCTGAATCTTTAAATTTGCGTCTAATGATGTTATTGGCTCCCAAATAACATGCTGCCAATCTATATTTACTTCATTAATCATTTATATAAGAACAGCTCAAGGAGACATCATGTAGGGGTTATTAGGGTATTCACCTTAACCTTCTTCCCGATCGATATTCTTACTGTGTATCTTAACTTATAAACATAACATAAGATTTATAACTTAAATATATCACTAGGAAGTAGAAAGGCTGCTTTCCTGGCGGGAAAGACCAAATTAAACTTTCAATTCGAACCCTTGTAACTTTTGACGGATATTATGGCGACAAGGAGGATTAATTTATAATGGGACGAAGGGCCCTCAGAAGTGAACTACGTTATAAGCATAAGTACCCTCCTTAAACCAATGCTTAATACTTACATAATCCTCTCAGCCACCGAGACCTCTGGCTGAAGATAGGTTGGAAGGTCAACTGATGTTCGCTCTTTAAAAGTTTCTTCATGAATGCGACATAGTCGATACCGGAAAGGAGAATGTAATATTTCCTCTAAAATAAATCGGTACACTTCCCAATTTAAATTTTAAGCTGTTGTGTATGGTAGAGGAAGATGAGTGCACTCACTGACGTCGGTCGCTGCACTTACACCACAAATACTCGAATATAACTTCATTAAAGTTCGAAGAGAAATATAGATGTACACCAACACACGAGGGTCTGTCTGTCTCTGCGGTAATCATCGCGGAGGAAGGAAGACAAGATATGTACGTCCTGGTGGACGCCCGCTGCGCTAGGCTCCGCCCCGTCATATGTAAACAGAAGGAAGGTTACAATTGCAATTTGGGTAGTTTGTTTAACTAGGCTAGAGGGACTTACAGTACCAAGCACTGGGTTCCTTCCACTTAACTTTTATGCTGATAACCTTTATCCTTCTTGCCTGTACAAAATGTACAGATATTTAAAAGTAGGAAAATAAACTAAAAATAGTATTTTCTGTGTAAATGTGACGGACAGTACAACACTCCGGTTTATGGACTACTGTTGCCACTTGATAGTGTCGTTTTCTGTGCCTAGATGGCAGTATAATCTTCCTAAACATAACAGGAGGGGCTTCGTAAATATGTTTGTTAATGGATAGAACATTTTGTTCGGGAAAAAAATTCTTATAAATTTATTAATATAATTAATAATATCAGATATGTAAATGTGTATCCTTGTATAATAAAGAGTACAGCATAAAAAAGGGGTAGTAGGAGAAGTGAACATTCATACGTATTCATAGTTGAATGGCAAGTTTTATCAGAATGATCTGTATTCCCTTCTCCAAGGCTATGGGTCCCAACACTTGCACCAGAGGTGGTACCCCTTATATATGTGTATATATATATATATATATATATATATATATATATATATATATATATATATATATATATATATATATATATATATATACATATACACATTTACATTCCCTGTTCTCAGTACCTCAGGGAGGAGGTAACATGGATTGAGGTAATTACTTTAAAAATTCTAGGTAATTAGTACTATTATTTACTCCCTATTCATGGTTTGGTTAGGTTAAGGTTACCTTACGTTAAGGTTACATTAGGTTAGATTACATTAGGTTAGGTTTCATTATGTTTGGTTATATTAACATGGTGCATTAGTCTCAAACATGTGAAATATGAAATTCGAAAACTATTTGAATATCTCCTAGAATTTTATTTACAGGAATTCAAATTCTTCAAACCCTTTCAAAGAAAACGAGTTATGCATAGACTTTTATTATTTAAAACAAATGGTTTATAATATAATAAAGGTATAACCAGAATTTTATCTGCTTAGGACAAAGGTGTTTGTGTCCACAGGTAATGATGTCCTCCACGCTCTGACCCACGATGTCCCAAACCAGCTCCGGGTGACGCTCAGTGACTGGAAAGGGCGCAGTGCCGTCTCCACCTGGGACTACTTCAGGTAAGTAGTCAACCCATTTCACTCTACTGCTACCAGGGATGACCTTCAGAATAGGTAGTCCACCCTCTTACTGGACTGGTGCCAAGACTATTTCAGGAAGGCTGTCAGTCTGAGTCAGTCCACCCGATTGACTGTCCTTCGGGGCGAAGGACAGTCAATCGGGTGGACTGACAGCCTACCTGAAATAGTCTATCCCAAGGGATAATATCCTTTGGGATGGGATATACTAAACTCTGTAAATACTGTCTGAACACTTGATGATGTACTGGACTTGTACCCATGATTGACTGTGTAATGTATCAGTTATGTAATATATGTGATGTGACTAAAACTTGAGTTTGTAAAGGCATCTTAATCACCCTTTGTGGTTGTGCTTAAAAACACACTATTTTCTATAGCAGATGTCTTAGCTGTGTGTGTGTGTGTGTGTATATGTGTAAGCTGGTCAGAATTGCATTACACCTTTGTAAACGCACATTAAACACATTATGTATTAAAAGCACACTTCGAACACTGTTTATACAAGAAAGACGTATATCTATGTATTTATGTATGCAGCTTACATTAACAGTTTAAAAGCACTCCACTCACCTTCTGTAGTTAAGTGTTCAACAAATCCCTGAACTACATCTTTAACCCATCCCTAACTGTGTTTTGGAGGACAGAAGAGAATGTACATATATTCTGGTTACCAATTAAAATGAATGGCCACGTCTCTGATAGAACAATAATAATAATAATAATTCAAATAGAGGTGATAGCCAGTGTTGACTGTGTTGCAAGGTGGTGAAAGCCAGTGTTGACTGTGTTGCAGAGTGGGAAGCGAGCAGGAGCAATACAAGCTGAGTGTTGGTCAGTACCAGCCGGAGAGTACAGCAGGGGACGCCCTCTCACACCACAACCAGCGGGCCTTCTCCACCTACGACCACGACAACGACATTGACCACTTTGGTAGGTGTCCCTGGTCTTGTTCTGGTGCCTGGTAGGTGCTCCTGGTATTGTTCTGGTGCCTGGTAGGTGCCCCCTGGTCTTGTTCTGGTGCCTGGTAGGTGCTCCTGGTATTGTTCTGGTGCCTGGTAGGTGCCCCTGGTCTTGTTCTGGTGCCTGGTAGGTGCCCCTGGTCTTGTTCTGGAGCCTGGTAGGTGTCCCTGGTCTTGTTCTGGTGCCTGGTAGGTGCTCCTGGTATTGTTCTGGTGCCTGGTAGGTGCCCCTGGTCTTGTTCTGGTGCCTGGTAAGTGTCCCTGGTATTGTTCTGGTGCCTGGTAGGTGCTCCCGGTCTTGTTCTGGTGCCTGGTAAGTGTCCCTGGTATTGTTCTGGTGCCTGGTAGGTGCTCCCGGTCTTGTTCTGGTGCCTGGTAGGTGCCCCCGGTCTTGTTCTGGTGCCTGGTAGGTGCCCCCGGTCTTGTTCTGGTGCCTGGTAAGTGTCCCTGGTCTTGTTCTGGTGCCTGGTAGGTGCCCCTGGTCTTGTTCTGGTGCCTGGTAGGTGCTCCTGGTATTGTTCTGGTGCCTGGTAGGTGCCCCTGGTCTTGTTCTGGTGCCTGGTAGGTGCCCCTGGTCTTGTTCTGGTGCCTGGTAGGTGCTCCTGGTATTGTTCTGGTGCCTGGTAGGTGCCCCTGGTCTTGTTCTGGTGCCTGGTAAGTGTCCCTGGTCTTGTTCTGGTGCCTGGTAGGTGCTCCTGGTATTGTTCTGGTGCCTGGTAGGTGTCCCTGGTATTGTTCTGGTGCCTGGTAGGTGCCCCCGGTCTTGTTCTGGTGCCTGGTAAGTGTCCCTGGTCTTGTTCTGGTGCCTGGTAGGTGTCCCTGGTCTTGTTCTGGTGCCTGGTAGGTGCTCCTGGTATTGTTCTGGTGCCTGGTAGGTGCTCCTGGTCTTGTTCTGGTGCCTGGTAGGTGCTCCTGGTCTTGTTCTGGTGCCTGGTAGGTGTCCCTGGTCTTGTTCTGGTGCCTGGTAGGTGCCCCTGGTCTTGTTCTGGTGCCTGGTAGGTGTCCCTGGTCTTGTTCTGGTGCCTGGTAAGTGTCCCTGGTCTTGTTCTGGTGCCTGGTAAGTGTCCCTGGTCTTGTTCTCTTGCCTGGTAGGTGCCCCCGGTCTTGTTCTGGTGCCTGGTAGGTGCCACAGCTATTGTTCTCTTGCCTGGTAGGTGCCACAGCTATTGTTCTCTTGCCTGGTAGGTGCCACAGCTATTGTTCTCTTGCTTATATAATACCACGTATTATATAAACAAATAATCGCCAGTAGAACCTAAACACCGAACTTATCCTTCACCTAAGTATACATATAACTCTAATATATATAATACATTTAATTTATACATACATACAGTATATGACAAAAAAACTATTTTTTAATACATAATTTGTTAAAATAAATCAATGCGTATCAGGGTTTGGCTGCCGCTTTAAGGAGCCTAGCCTGAGGATAGGATGAGGAATAGCTAATAAATCTGTTTGCTGTAGGATGTATCTAAGCACATTTAGACATGCTTCTAAATATTAGAAACATTCTTTTAAGATGCTTCCCGCCTCCCGCCGGCTTCCTGTCCCCGTCGCGGTCAAGGGAAGTTGCATGGTGTGCCTCATATATATATTTATATTTTTAAATTTTAGATGAATAATTTTTTGAATTTTTTGTTGTTGCTCATCAGGAAATAACAAGAAACGGCGACGTTTCCGACGGACCGAAACGACGGACCGAAACGTTGTCGTTTCTTCGTCTTCTGATTTTTGGTTTAATTTTCATATCTTGAGCCCCGTTATTGTGACACCGTCTGCGTGAAGCCAGACATTACCTAGACTATAGGCTCCATGTAACACCCATGACCCCCCCCCCCCTCGAGTTCACACCCAGGGAAGCCTTCTCCAAGAGGTCAGCCCAGATGACCTCTGGATTATCTTGTATGTTGATTAAAAAATTCCTGGGTTAGTCTTAATCAGCTAGTTTCAAGTATGTAATATTTCATGGTACTCTTGTCAAACATTGCAATGGAATTAGACCCCCAGATTCTTATGTGTAAACATCCATGGATCTCCCCCCCCCTTTTAGCCCAGGTCAGAGGTCAGTCACACACGTAATTAATAATTCCTCTCTTGAACAGTGTATGGTGAATGTCAAACAAGCTTGATGGAAAAATTCTTGAGTGTTTGTACACGTGTGGCCGACCTCTTACATTTTTGGTGTAGGTAGCAACAGCAAATCTTCCCCTTCCCCCCCCCCCCAATTTTACAGGACCAATGTATACATATTCGGGTGTATATAGAGACTGTAGAGACTTAGAGACAGAGTGCGGGACACCAGGGTCGAGAGAGGGTCTGTGAGAACATCACACATCCAGGGAGGGACAGAGTGAATCCACCGGAGGGAGAGACAGTGGTCTTAAGGTAAAGTGTGATCTCTGAGGGTTTTGTTCCATGTCTAAATTTCTTAACTATTGGCCAGTGTTAGAGTAGGAGTTATAGTGGTGATTAGCATAATTTTGTTCTCAATAAACTCGTGTTAAATTTCCCGTCTGTGTCAATTGTTGAATCCTCTTAGCCTCTGGTTATAGTTTGCTAACAACCGTCCCATAATTAATGACAGTCATAGAAAGTACTCTCCAAGTCAAGCAATGTTTCTTGCCTCGTTGCTTGATATAATCTCAATGGTCAAGGCAGATGGTGGCAGCGTTTTTTAGTCCTGTGTAGCATTTTCTTGTTGGCAGTGTACCTTTGGTTCCGGTGTAAGCATCATATGTCAGCTCATATTACAGTGTTCAATAACAGCGTTACCAAGTGCAACCGATAGGAAGTGTTACGCAGGATAAGTAGTAGTGTTACATTATTAGTTCATAGTATATAGTGGTGTTACAACCAGTATATAGTGGTGTTACAACCATTACCTAGACTATAGGCTCCATTACCTAGACTATAGACTCCATAACCAAGACTATATATTCCATTAACCTTGACTGTGCGCCAGTAGATCACTGCGCCCAGCGCCACGGCGGCGGGTGGTGGTACTTCAGCTGCTACGTCTCCCACCTGACGGGGACGGCGCTCCCGCCCAACGTTACCGGACACCACGGCATCGTCTGGAGGACTTGGCGGGAAACTCTAGGGCTTAAGGACGTCACCATGATGATCAGACCTGCGTCGCTCCCGACGTGCCCTCGCAAGCCCTGATGATTCGTCTCTGAGGCAAGCCAGCAAGCCCTGATGATTCGTCTCTGTGGCAAGCCAGCAAGCCCTGATGATTCGTCTTTGTGGCAAGCCAGCAAGCCCTGATGATTCGTCTCTGTGGCAAGCCAGCAGGCCCTGATGATTCGTCTCTGAGGCAAGCCAGCAAGCCCTGATGATTCGTCTCTGTGGCAAGCCAGTAGCCCTGATGATTCGTCTCTGTGGCAAGCCAGTAGTCCTGATGATTCGTCTCTGTGGCAAGCCAGTAGCCCTGATGATTCGTCTCTGTGGCAAGCCAGTAGCCCTGATGATTCGTCTCTGTGGCAAGCCAGCAGGCCCTGATGATTCGTCTCTGAGGCAAGCCAGCAAGCCCTGATGATTCGTCTCTGTGGCAAGCCAGCAGGCCCTGATGATTCGTCTCTGTGGCAAGCCAGTAGCCCTGATGATTCGTCTCTGTGGCAAGCCAGTAGCCCTGATGATTCGTCTCTGTGGCAAGCCAGCAAGCCCAGATGATTCGTCTCTGTCGCAAGCCAGCAAGCCCTGATGATTCGTCTCTGTGGCAAGCCAGTAGCCCTGATGATTCGTCTGTGTGGCAAGCCAGCAAGCCCAGATGATTCGTCTCTGTCGCAAGCCAGTAGCCCTGATGATTCGTCTCTGTCGCAAGCCGGCAAGCCCTGATGGTATATCTTTATGTTTACAATATGCCCAAATACTCTGATCCACTGCCAGGATTGACCAAGTATTTGCACATCCTCTTGTGAAACCTGTATATCTTTCATCAGTCACGGAAGCTTTTGTTTACATTCATTAAACAGTTTGAGAGTTTCGAAAGGTCACAACTTGAGGTTATTATTGTTAGAAACAACATTGTAGGTGTTTGGAGCTCAATAAATGGAAAGAAAGCCGTCATGAGTGTGGAAAGATGTAGAGGTTTCGTAAGAGGTTGCGTTAAGGCTTCATGGATCCCGGCCCTGATCTGCATGTACAAATACAAACGGTGAATTCAGATTTAGAAGAATTAAGAAATTTTGAAAGATCTGAAAACTGCAGCATCCAAAAGGTATTTACAACATTTTAAGCATTAATACGGGGCACCTGTTTATAGAACTCATCAATGTCATAGTGTTGTGACGATTCTATTATTCTGTCAATTATATGGCGAGCCGTAATTATATGGTAGACGTTCACTTGAACACTTTCGGTACTAACTGTGAAGCTGTAGAAGATCTTATGACATTGGTCTTGGACTGGTTGGTAGAGAGACGAACTCTCTCTCTCTACAGGTCAAGGTTCGATTCCCCTATATGATCCAAGTAAATAGGCACCGATCCTTCACACCGTCCTCCTATCCCAGAGTTTCTATCCTTTCCCCGTTATACCTTCCATTTGCTATACAGGCATACTATGTATACTTAACCATTCTATATAATCAATTATTTTACCTACACTGGAGATACTTGCCCATATTGATGCGTATAAATCTTGTAATCTAGTCTGCCTATCTCATGCCTTGTGTGGCACTAAACAGAACGATAAACATTAATGAAAAAACTGACCAAACTCTCAAGTTAGACAAAATTGCAATTCAGTTTTATCAACTATTATATGTTTTAATGTGTGATGTACTGTGTGTTTGCTGAAGCTGTGTTTGTTTTAAACTATAATCTAGGACTATAGTCTTGTGTATGATCCACTGTCCTGTGTGGCAGTGAATGTGAGTAGCATCTTCACTGTCCTGTGTGCCAGTGAATATGAGCACCATCCCCACTGTCCTGTGTGCCAGTGAATATGTCCAATATCTTCACTGCAATAACGCCTGATGTAAGTACCCAGATTAGGCAAAGCTGTACATATATATATGCATTTGATCAATAAAGATGACGTAACTGTAAGTTCCTGAGGGCTGCTCTGGGAACTATATCGCCTGTACAGCTTACAATGACCAACACGTCTGCTCTCATTATCCACTAACAACCCACACGATCATCTGATAATCTACGCTGGGACCGCACAGTGTTTAATGATGATCAGAACCTCGACTCTGATGAAACAAGCAACGGTTCAGAATGTATCTCCATCTGTTAAGAGCTCTTGTATAGGAACCTCCTCTCAACGGTTCGCAAGACTGAACCGTTGGTTCAGGGATGTCTGAATGTATTCTGGAATTTGTTTCCAGAATCCATTTCTGGAATCCAGAAATACGTAATTCTTGTTTAAGTTTATTTCCAGTTTCATAATATTTACTAAAATAAAATGCTTTAGAATAATTTAAAGGTCATTAGGAATTTGCATCAATTTTATTGCATATTATCAACATATTCAACATGCATAAATGTGCATAAACAAATCAAAACACTAAGATGCAATTAAGATCTGCAGAGAAAGGTCCCAACCATTAGGGCATCATTACGAGGGCTCCCAGAGAACAAGCAAACTAAATAACACATCACATCACGCTATCACAAATGTGATAGTTGGATTATTTGTGGTAGATGGCTTTGTGGTAATAGAGAAAATTGGCATTGTTATGGTCGTGGTGGTTGTTAATGTCTTGGATGTAATTTGAAAGCTTTGGAACTTGTATTAATGGAAGTTGTAACTAGTGGTAGTGTGCTAGTGGTTGGCGCTGTTGTAAAAGTTGGGGGTTATTAGGAAAGGATGTGTTAATCGCTATGGTAGTTTTTGCTGTGATTGTTGTAGTGGTAGTTGGAGTTGAGTTTCATATTGTGGTAGAATTTAGTGGAGTTGTGGTAGTTTGAGTAGTAGTGGTGGTGGTGGTGGTGGTTGTAGTGGTGGAGATGTTGGTAGGCGTATCGGTGGTCAATGGCATCGATAATGAATTGTGATATTTGGGGGTACTGGAAGTACTTAGTGGTAGTGGTAGTTGATGTTATGGTGGGCGTGGAAGTAGTTACTGTTGTAGTTAATGTAGGAAGTAGTTAATGTTGTTAATATAATGAAATTAAATTGATGTTTTGTTGTTGTCGTGGTGGAAGTTAATGTGCTAGTTGTCGTCATGGAGGTCGATGTTGTGGTGATCTCTGTTGTATTGATAATCAATGTTGACGTCGATGTTGTTGTCGTTGTGGAAGTCTATTTGTGAGTTGTAGTGGAGGATGATGTTGAGGTAAAATTTGTTGTAGTGGTAGTTTTCACAGTGGAAATCAATGTTGTAGTCAAAGTGGTAGTTGTCGTGGTGGAAGTCGATGTGGTAGTTGCTGTGGAAGTCGATGTGGTAGTTGCTGTGGAAGTCGATGTGGTAGTTGCTGTGGAAGTCGATGTGGTAGTTGCTGTGGAAGTCGATGTGGTAGTTGCTGTGGAAGTCGATGTGGTAGTTGCTGTGGAAGTCGATGTGGTAGTGGCTGTGGAAGTCGATGTGGTAGTTGCTGTGGAAGTCGATGTGGTAGTTGCTGTGGAAGTCGATGTGGTAGTTGCTGTGGCAGTCGATGTGGTAGTTGCTGTGGAAGTCGATGTGGTAGTTGTCGAAGTGGAAGTCGATGTGGTAGTTGCTGTGGAAGTCGATGTGGTAGTTGCTGTGGAAGTCGATGTGGTAGTTGCTGTGGAAGTCGATGTGGTAGTTGCTGTGGAAGTCGATGTGGTAGTTGCTGTGGAAGTCGATGTGGTAGTTGCTGTGGAAGTCGATGTGGTAGTTGCTGTGGAAGTCGATGTGGTAGTTGCTGTGGAAGTCGATGTGGTAGTTGCTGTGGAAGTCGATGTGGTAGTTGCTGTGGAAGTCGATGTGGTAGTTGCTGTGGAAGTCGATGTGATAGTTGCTGTGGAAGTCGATGTGGTAGTTGCTGTGGAAGTCGATGTGGTAGTTGCTGTGGTATAGATCGATATGCTGGTTGTTGTGGGCGAAGTCGATGTGGTACTGGCAGTTTTTGAAGTGGAAGTTGTTGTAGTAGTTGTCGATATGAAGGTAGATATTGTAGTGGTCGTGGTGGAGGTCGATGTAGTTTAAATAGTAGAGGTACTTTGCGAGGAGGTCGATGTGGTAGTTGTAGTGGAAGGGGGTGAGGCAATTGTGGTAGTTTTGACTGTGGTAGCTGGTCTTGTGGTTTTCATCGTGGTAGTTGTCGTTGGTGTGGTAGTAGGTGTTTCAGAGGTCGATGTGTAAGTTGTGGATGTCTTGGGGGTCTTTGATGTTATATTTGTTAAGGTTGAACTTTCAGTGGTTGTTGTAGTGTTAGCTGTGGTAGTGGAAGTCAATGTTGTAGTTGTTGTAGTGTTAGCTTTGGAAGTGGAAGTGAATGATGAGGTAGATGTTTTAGAAGTTGTAGTGGGAGCTGTTGTACTGGAAGTCAATGTTGAGGTGGATGTGGTAGTTGTCGTTGATGTGGTAGTAGGCGTTTCAGAGGTCGATGTGTAAGTTGTGGATGTCGTGGTGGTGTTTGATGATATATTTGTTGAGGTTGAACTTTCAGTGGTGGTTGTAGTGTTAGCTGTGGTACTGGAAGTCAGTGTTGAGGTCGATGTTGTAGTGGTAGCTGTTGTAGTGGAAGGCAATGTTAAGGTAGATGTGATTGTTGTCGTTGAGGTGGATGTGGTAGTTGTCGTTAAGAAAGATGTAATTGTAATTGTAGAGGTACTTGTTGTGGTGGAGGTTGATGTGGTAGTTGCAGTGGATGGTGGAGTGGTAGTGTTAGTGGTAGCTTGTATTGTGGTTTTCAATGTGGTAGTTTGTTGGCTAATGCAACACGCACATCCTGGTGAGCACGCTGATGTTATGAAATTGTTTTGACATTTAATTTCTGCTTTCAATTTGGGAAAACATTTGCTGATGCATTTGTTATTGTGAGTAATGAAATGACATTTCTTGTGAGTTGTGGAACTGGTGAGAGTAGTCGTCAATTTTGGTGTAATGGTAACAGTTGCATTTGTTGGGGTTGATGTTACGGTGGTAGTTACGATCTTGGTGGTTTCGGTTGTCGTAGAGAAAACTTTAATCGTGGTGGAGATCGATGTGGAAGTTGTCGTTGATGTCGATGGGGAAGTTGTCGTTGATGTCGATGTGGTAGTTTTAGTTGAAGAGGTCGATTTGGTAGTTGTCGATATCTTAGCAGAGATAGATGTTGTGGTTGTTCTGGTGGAAGTCGATGTTGTAGCTGTTTTGGAGGTGGATGTTGAAGTTGTTCTGGTGGAGGTCGATATGGTAGTTGTTGTGGATGAAGTCGATGTTGGTATCAATATAGTAGTGGTGGCTGTTGTGGTAGTTGTCCTTGTAGAAATGAATGTTGAGGTCGATGTATTATTTGTCGTGGTGGAGGTCGATGTAGTAGTAGTCGTTGGTGTGGTAGTAGGCGTTTCAGATGTCGATGTGTAAGTTGTGGATGTCTTGATGGTCTTTGATGTTATATTTGTTGAGGTTGAACTTTCAGTGGTGGTTGTAGTGTTAGCTGTGGTAGTCGAAGTCAATGTTGAGATCGACGTTGTAGTGGAAGTCAATGTTGAGGTCGACGTTGTAGTGGTAGCTGTTGTAGTGGAAGTCAATGTTGAGGTCGATGTGGTAGTTGTAGTAGTGGAGGTCGATGTAGGAGTTGTCGTTTTTGAGGTCGATATAGCAGTTGTGTTGGATGTCAATATGGTATTTTCAGTGGATGGTGTAGTAGCAGAAGCTTGTGTTGAGATTTTCATTGTGGTAGTTTGTTCCTTGGTGCAACACGCACAGCCAGGTGTGCACGCTGATGTTATGAAATTGTTTTGACATTTAATGGCTGCTTTCCATTTGGGAAAACATTTGGTGATGCATTTGTTGTTGTGAGTAATGAAATGACACTTTTTGTGTGGTGTTGTACTGGTGAGAGTTGTTGTCGATGTGCTTGTTGTGGTGACAGTGGTTGTTGTTTCTGTTGATATTATAGTTATGATCGTGGTGGATGGAGTAGTTGTCGTTGGTGTGGTAGTAGGCGTTTCAGAGGTCGATGTGTAAGTTGTTGATGTCTTGGGGGTCTTTGAAGTTATATTTGTTGAGGTTGAATTTGCAGTGGTGGTTGTAGTGTTAGCTGTGGTAGTGGAAGCGAATGTTGAGGTAGATGTTTTTGAAGTTGTAGTGGTAGCTGTTGTAGTGGAAGTCAATGTTGAGGTGGATGTGGTAGTTGTCGTTAAGGTAGATGTAGTTGAAGTCGTAGAAGTACTTGCCGTGGTGGGGGTTGATGAGGTAGTTGCAGTGGATGGTGGAGTGGTAGTTTTGACAGTTGAAAGTAATGTTGCAGTCGATGTAGTTGTCATTGATGTGGTAGAAGGTGTTTCAGAGGTCGATGTGTAAGTTGTGGATATTTTGGTGGTCTCTGATGTTATATTTGTTGAGGTTTTAATCGTAGAGGTGGTTGTAGTTTCAGTGGTGGTTGTAGTGTTAGCTATGGTAGTCGAAGTCACTGTTGAGGTCGATGTTGAGGTAGATGTGGTAGTTGTCGTTGAACTGGATGTGGTAGTTGTCGTTGAGGAGGATGTAGTAGTTGTGGTTAAGGTCGATGTAGCTGTATTTGTAGAGATATTTGTCGTGGTGGAGGTTGATGTGATAGTTGCAGTGGATGGTGGAGTGGTAGTACTAGTGGTAGCTTGTATTGTGGTTTTCAATGTGGTAGTTTGTTGGCTAATGCAACACGCACATCCTGGTGAGCACGCTGATGTTATGAAATTGTTTTGACATTTAATTTCTGCTTTCAATTTGGGAAAACATTTGCTGATGCATTTGTTATTGTGAGTAATGAAATGACATTTTTTGTGAGTTGTGGAACTGGTGAGAGTAGTCGTCAATTTTGGTGTAATGGTAACAGTTGCATTTGTTGGGGTTGATGTTACGGTGGTAGTTACGATCTTGGTGGTTTCGGTTGTCGTAGAGAAAACTTTAATCGTGGTGGAGATCAATGTGGAAGTTGTCGTAGAAGTCGATGTGGTAGTTTTAGTTGAAGAGGTCGATATGGTAGTTGTCGATATCTTAGCGGAGATAGATGTTGTGGTTGTTCTGGTGAAAGTCGATGTTGTAGCTGTTTTGGAGGTGGATGTTGAAGTTATTCTGGTGGAGGTCGATATGGTAGTTGTTGTGGATGAAGTTGATGTTGATGTCAATGTAGTAGTGGTAGCTGTTGTGGTAGTTGTTCTAGAAGAAGTAAATTTTGAGGTCGATGTATTATTTGTCGTGGTGGAGGTCGATGTAGTAGTAGTCGTTGATGTGGTAGTAGGCGTTTCAGATGTCGATGTGTAAGTTGTGGATGTCTTTGTGGTGTCTGATGTTATATTTGTTGAGTTTGAACTTTCAGTGGTGGTTGTAGTGTTAGCTGTGGTAGTCGAAGTCAATGTTGAGGTCGACGTTGTAGCGGTAGCTGTTGTAGTGGAAGTCAATGTTGAGGTCGATGTGGTAGTTTGGGTTGAGGTCGATGTTGTAGATGTCGTTAAGGTAGATGTGGTTGTAATCGTAGATATACTTGTCGTGGTGGAGGTCGATGTTTTGGTGAACTTTGTTGTAGAGGAAGTCGAAGTTGTTGTAGTTGTGGAAGTCGATTTGGGAGTTCTCGTAATAGAGTTCGATGTTGTAATCGTTGTGGGCGTCGATTTAGAAATTGTCATAGTGGAGGTCGATGGTGTGGTGAAATTTGTTGTAGTGGTAGTTTTCATAGTTGAAAGTAACGCTGTAGTCGATGTGGTAGTTGTAGTGCTGGAGGTCGATGTGGTACTTGTCGTGGTAGAGGTCGATGTAGTGGTTGTCGTTTGTGTGGTAGTAGGCATTTCAGAGGTCGATGTGTAAGTTGTGGATATTTCGGTGGTCTCTGATGTTATATTTGTTGAGATTGAACTTGCAGTGGTGGTTGTAGTGTTAGCTGTTGTAGTGGAAGCCAATGTTGAGGTCGATGTGGTAGTTGTCGTTGAGGTGGATTTGGTAGTTGTCGTTAAGGTCGATGTATTTGTACTCGTAGAGATACTTGTAGTGCTGGAGGTCGATGTGGTAGTTGTCGTGGTGGAGGTCGTTGTAGTTGTCGTCGTTTTTGAGGTCGATATAGCAGTTGTGTTGGATGTCAATATGGTATTTTCAGTGGATGGTGTAGTAGCAGAAGCTTGTGTTGAGATTTTCATTGTGGTAGTTTGTTCCTTGGTGCAACACGCACAGCCAGGTGTGCACGCTGATGTTATGAAATTGTTTTGACATTTAATGGCTGCTTTCCATTTGGGAAAACATTTGGTGATGCATTTGTTGTTGTGAGTAATGAAATGACATTTTTTGTGTGGTGTTGTACTGGTGAGAGTTGTTGTCGATGTTCTTGGTGTGGTGACAGTGGTTGTTGTTTCTGTTGATATTATAGTTATGATCGTGGTGGATGGAGTAGTTGTCCTTGACGTGGTAGTAGGCGTTTCAGAAGTCGATGTGTAAGTTGTGGATGTGTTGGTGGTCTCTGATGTTATATTTGTTGAGGTTGAACTTTCAGTGGTTGTTGAAGTGTTAGTTGTGGTAGTGGAAGTCAATGTTGAGGACAATAGTGTAGTTGTTGTAGTGGAAGTCAGTGTTGAAGTGGATGTGTTAGTTGTCGTTGAGGTGGATGTAGTAGTTGTCGTTAAGGTCGATGTGCTTGTATTCGTATAGATATTTGTCGTGGTGGAGGTTGATGTGGTAGCAGCAGTGGATGGTGGAGTTGTAGTATTTGTGGTAGCTTGTACTGTGGTTTTCAATGTGGTAGTTTGTTGGCTAATGCAACACGCACATCCTGGTGAGCACGCTGATGTTATGAAATTGTTTTGACATTTAATTTCTGCTTTCAATTTGGGAAAACATTTGCTGATGCATTTGTTATTGTGAGTAATGAAATGACATTTCTTGTGAGTTGTGGAACTGGTGAGAGTAGTCGTCAATTTTGGTGTAATGGTAACAGTTGCATTTGTTGGGGTTGATGTTACGGTGGTAGTTACGATCTTGGTGGTTTCGGTTGTCGTAGAGAAAACTTTAATCGTGGTGGAGATCAATGTGGAAGTTGTCGTAGAAGTCGATGTGGTAGTTTTAGTTGAAGAGGTCGATATGGTAGTTGTCGATATCTTAGCGGAGATAGATGTTGTGGTTGTTCTGGTGAAAGTCGATGTTGTAGCTGTTTTGGAGGTGGATGTTGAAGTTATTCTGGTGGAGGTCGATATGGTAGTTGTTGTGGATGAAGTTGATGTTGATGTCAATGTAGTAGTGGTAGCTGTTGTGGTAGTTGTTCTAGAAGAAGTAAATTTTGAGGTCGATGTATTATTTGTCGTGGTGGAGGTCGATGTAGTAGTAGTCGTTGATGTGGTAGTAGGCGTTTCAGATGTCGATGTGTAAGTTGTGGATGTCTTTGTGGTGTCTGATGTTATATTTGTTGAGTTTGAACTTTCAGTGGTTGTTGTAGTGTTAGCTGTGGTAGTCGAAGTCAATGTTGAGGTCGACGTTGTAGTGGTAGCTGTTGTAGTGGAAGCCAATGTTGAGGTCGATGTGGTAGTTGTCGTTGAGGTGGATTTGGTAGTTGTCGTGGTGGAGGACAATGAATGAGTGGTCGTTTTTGAGGTCGATATAGCAGTTGTGTTGGATGTCAATATGGTATTTTCAGTGGATGGTGTAGTAGCAGAAGCTTGTGTTGAGATTTTCATTGTGGTAGTTTGTTCCTTGGTGCAACACGCACAGCCAGGTGTGCACGCTGATGTTATGAAATTGTTTTGACATTTAATGGCTGCTTTCCATTTGGGAAAACATTTGGTGATGCATTTGTTGTTGTGAGTAATGAAATGACACTTTTTGTGTGGTGTTGTACTGGTGAGAGTTGTTGTCGATGTTCTTGTTGTGGTGACAGTGGTTGTTGTTTCTGTTGATATTATAGTTATGATCGTGGTCGATGTAGTAGTTGTCGTTGGTGTGGTAGTAGGCGTTTCAGAGGTCGATGTGTAAGTTGTGGATGTCTTGGGGGTCTTTGATGTTATATTTGCTGATGTTGAACTTTCAGTGGTGGTTGTAGTGTTAGCTATGGTAGTGGAAGTCAATGTTGAGGTCGACGTGGTAGTGGTAACTGTTGTAGTGGAAGTCAATGTTGAGGTCGACGTTGTAGTGTTAGCTGTGGTAGTGGAAGTCAATGTTGAGGTCGACGTGGTAGTGGTAGCTGTTGTAGTGGAAGTCAATGTTGAGGTCGACGTTTTAATGTTAGCTGTTGTAGTGGAAGTCAATTTTGAGGTCGACGTGGTAGTGGTAGCTGTGGTAGTGGAAGTCAATGTTGAGGTCGACGTTGTAGTGTTAGCTATGGTAGTGGAAGTCAATGTTGAGGTCGACGTGGTAGTGGTAACTGTTGTAGTGGAAGTCAATGTTGAGGTCGACGTTGTAGTGTTAGCTGTGGTAGTGGAAGTCAATGTTGAGGTCGACGTGGTAGTGGTAGCTGTTGTAGTGGAAGTCAATGTTGACGTCGACGTTGTAGTGTTAGCTGTGGTAGTGGAAGTCAATGTTGAGGTCAACGTTTTAATGTTAGCTGTTGTAGTGGAAGTCAATTTTGAGGTCGACGTGGTAGTGGTAGCTGTTGTAGTGGAAGTCAATGTTGAGGTCGACGTTGTAGTGGAAGTCAATTTTGAGGTCGACGTGGTAGTGGTAGCTGTTGTAGTGGAAGTCAATGTTGAGGTCGACGTTGTAGTGTTAGCTGTGGTAGTAGAAGTCAATGTTGAGGTCGACGTTGTAGTGTTAGCTGTTGTAGTGGAAGTCAATGTTGAGGTCGACGTTGAAGTGCTAGCTGCTGTAGAGGAAGTCAATATTGTATTTGTTGTCGTGTTAGCTTTGAAAGTGGAAGTGAATGTTGAGGTAGATGTTTTAGAAGTTGTAGTTGTAGCTGTTGTAGTGGAAGTTAATGTTGAGGTGGATGTGGTAGTTGTCGTTAAGAAAGATGTAGTTGTAATTGTAGAGGTACTTGTTGTGGTGGAGGTTGATGTGGTAGTTGCAGTGGATGGTGGAGTGGTAGTATTAGTGGTAGCTTGTATTGTGGTTTTCAATGTGGTAGTTTGTTGGCTAATGCAACACGCACATCCCGGTGAGCAAGCTGATGTTATGAAATTGTTTTGACATTTAATTTCTGCTTTCAATTTGGGAAAACATTTGCTGATGCATTTGTTATTGTGAGTAATGAAATGACATTTTTTGTGAGTTGTGGAACTGGTGAGAGTAGTCGTCAATTTTGGTGTAATGGTAACAGTTGCATTTGTTGGGGTTGATGTTACGGTGGTAGTTACGATCTTGGTGGTTTCGGTTGTCGTAGAGAAAACTTTAATCGTGGTGGAGATCAATGTGGAAGTTGTCGTTGAAGTCGATGTGGTAGTTTTAGTTGAAGAGGTCGATATGGTAGTTGTCGATATCTTAGCGGAGATAGATGTTGTGGTTGTTCTGGTGGGAGTCGAGGTTGTAGCTGTTTTGGAGGTGGATGTTGAAGTTATTCTGGTGGAGGTCGATATGGTAGTTGTTGTGGATGAAGTTGATGTTGATGTCAATGTAGTAGTGGTAGCTGTTGTGGTAGTTGTTCTAGAAGAAGTAAATTTTGAGGTCGATGTATTATTTGTCGTGGTGGAGGTCGATGTAGTAGTAGTCGTTAATGTGGTAGTAGGCGTTTCAGATGTCGATGTGTAAGTTGTGGATGTCTTTGTGGTGTCTGATGTTATATTTGTTGAGTTTGAACTTTCAGTGGTTGTTGTAGTGGAAGTCAATGTCGAGGTCGACGTTGTAGTGGTAGCTGTTGTAGTGGAAGTCAATGTTGAGGTCGATATGGTAGTTGGTGTTGAGGTCAATGTTGTAGTTGTCGTTAAGGTCGATGTGGTTGTAATCGTAGATGTACTTGTCGTGGTGGAGGTCGATGTTTTGGTTAACTTTGTTGTAGTGGAAGTCGATGTTGTCGTTGTTGAAGTCGATTTGGGAGTTCTCGTAATAGAGTTCGATGTTGTTATCGTTGTGGACGTCGATTTAGGAATTGTCGTATTGGAGGTCGATGTTGTGGTGAAATTTTTTGTAGTGGTAATTTTCATAGTTGAAAGTAATGTTGTAGTCGATGTGGTAATTGTAGTGCTGGAGGTCGATGTGGTAGTTGTTGTGGTGGAGGTCGATGTGGTAGTTGTCGTTTTTGAGGTCGATATAGCAGTTGTGTTGGATGTCAATATGGTATTTTCAGTGGATGGTGTAGTAGCAGAAGCTTGTGTTGAGATTTTCATTGTGGTAGTTTGTTCCTTGGTGCAACACGCACAGCCAGGTGTGCACGCTGATGTTATGAAATTGTTTTGACATTTAATGGCTGCTTTCCATTTGGGAAAACATTTGGTGATGCATTTGCTGTTGTGAGTAATGAAATGACACTTTTTGTGTGGTGTTGTACTGGTGAGAGTTGTTGTCGATGTTCTTGTTGTGGTGACAGTGGTTGTTGTTTCTGTTGATATTATAGTTATGATCGTGGTCGATGTAGTAGTTGTCGTTGGTGTGGTAGTAGGCATTTCAGAGGTCGAGGTGTAAGTTGTGGATGTGTTGGTGGTCTCTGATGTTATATTTGTTGAGGTTGAACTTGCAGTGGTTGTTGAAGTGGTAGCTGTTTTAGTGGAAGCCAATGTTGAGGTCGATGTGGTAGTTTTAGTTGAAGAGGTCGATTTGGTAGTTGTCGATATCTTAGTGGAGAGAGATGTTGTGGTTGTTCTGGTGGGAGTCGACTTTGTAGCCATTTTGGAGGTGGATGTTGAAGTTTTTCTGGTGGAGGTCGATATGGTAGTTGTTTTGGATGAAGTCGATGTTGATGTCAATATAGTAGAGGTAGCTGTTGTGGTAGTTGTCCTAATAGAAGTGAATTTTGAGGTCGATGTATTATTTGTCGTCGTGGAGGTCGATGTTGTAAGTGTTGTAGTGGGAGCTGTTGTAGTGGAAGTCAATGTTGAGGTAGATGTGGTAGTTGTCGTTGAGGTGGATGTGGTAGTTGTCGTTGAGGTGGATGTGGTAGTTGTCGTTGAGGTGGATGTGGTAGTTGTCGTTGAGGTGGATGTGGTAGTTGTCGTTGAGGTGGATGTGGTAGTTGTCGTTGAGGTGGATGTGGTAGTTGTCGTTGAGGTGGATGTGGTAGTTGTCGTTGAGGTGGATTTGGTAGTTGTCGTTGAGGTGGATGTGGTAGTTGTCGTTGAGGTGGATGTGGTAGTTGTCGTAGAGGTGGATGTGGTAGTTGTCGTTGAGGTGGATGTGGTAGTTGTCGTAGAGGTGGTAGTTGTCGTAGAGGTGGTAGTTGTCGTAGAGGTGGATGTGGTAGTTGTCGTAGAGGTGGATGTGGTAGTTGTCGTAGAGGTGGATGTGGTAGTTGTCGTAGAGGTGGATGTGGTAGTTGTCGTAGAGGTGGATGTGGTAGTTGTCGTTGAGGTGGATGTGGTAGTTGTCGTAGAGGTGGTAGTTGTCGTAGAGGTGGTAGTTGTCGTAGAGGTGGATGTGGTAGTTGTCGTAGAGGTGGATGTGGTAGTTGTCGTAGAGGTGGATGTGGTAGTTGTCGTAGAGGTGGATGTGGTAGTTGTCGTAGAGGTGGATGTGGTAGTTGTCGTAGAGGTGGATGTGGTAGTTGTCGTAGAGGTGGATGTGGTAGTTGTCGTAGAGGTGGATGTGGTAGTTGTTGTTAAGGTTGATGTAGTTGTCTTCGTAGAAGTACCTGTCGTGGTGGAGGTTGTTGTGGTAGTTGCAGAGGATGGTGGAGTGGTAGTATTAGTGGTAGCTTGTACTGTGGTTTTCAATGTGGTAGTTTGTTGGCTAATGCAACACGCACATCCTGGTGAGCACGCTGATGTTATGAAATTGTTTTGACATTTAATTTCTGCTTTCAATTTGGGAAAACATTTGCTGATGCATTTGTTATTGTGAGTAATGAAATGACATTTTTTGTGAGTTGTGGAACTGGTGAGAGTAGTCGTCAATTTTGGTGTAATGGTAACAGTTGCATTTGTTGGGGTTGATGTTACGGTCGTAGTTACGATCTTGGTGGTTTTGGTTGTCGTAGAGAAAACTTTAATCGTGGTGGAGATCAATGTGGAAGTTGTCGTTGAAGTCGATGTGGTAGTTTTAGTTGAAGAGGTCGATATGGTAGTTGTCGATATCTTAGTGGAGAAAGATGTTGTGGTTGTTCTGGTGGGAGTCGAGGTTGTAGCTGTTTTGAAGGTGGATGTTGAAGTTGTTCTGGAGGAGGTCGATATGGTGGTAGTGGTCGCGGAGAAGGTTGGTGTGGTTTTTGCAGTGGAGGTTGGTGTGGTAGTAACAGTGGTAGCTTGTGCTGTGGTTTTCATTGTGGTAGTTTGTTTCTTGATGCAACACGCACAGCCAGGTGTACAAGCTGATGTTATGAAATTGTTTTGGCATTTAATTGCGGCTTTCCATTTGGGAAAACATTTACTGATGCATTTGTTGTTGTGAGTAATGAAATGACACTTTTGGGGTGTTTTGGTTCTGGTGAGTGTGGTTGTTGATGTTGTTGTTGTTATTGAGGTCGATGGCCCTGAAGTTCTTGGTGGTGTTGGTGGTGGTGGTGGAGTTCTTGGTGGTGTTGTTGAGGTTCTTGGTGGTGTTGGTGGTGGTGTTGGTGGTGGTGTTGGAGTTCTTGGTGGTGTTGTTGAGGTTCTTGGTGGTGTTGGTGGTGGTGTTGGTGGTGGTGTTGGAGTTCTTGGTGGTGTTGGTGGTGGTGCTGGAGTTCTTGGTGGTGTTGGTGGTGGTGTTGGAGTTCTTGGTGGTGTTGGTGGTGGTGTTGGAGTTCTTGGTGGTGTTGGTGGTGGTGGTGGAGTTCTTGGTGGTGTTGGTGGTGGTGGTGGTGGAGTTCTTGGTGGTGTTGGTGGTGGTGGTGGAGTTCTTGGTGGTGTTGGTGGTGCTGAAGCTGTCGATAATGTTGGCAGTGCTGAAGCTGTCGATAATGTTGGTGATGCTGAAGCTGTCGATAATGTTGGTGATGCTGAAGCTGTCGATAATGTTGGTGATGCTGAAGCTGTCGATAATGTTGGTGATGCTGAAGCTGTTATAGATGTTATCGGTGCTGAAGGAGATGATGGTAATGTGGTTGATGATCCAGTAGTCGTCGCTAAAGAAAAAAAATATTTGTTGTATTCATTGTTCACCGTCGATGGAAATATAAGAAAGAAACATACACACATTGACAACAAACTAGTACCATCACAAGCTGACAACGTCTCAACGTGTTGTGTTCGCGTGTCTCAAGACGTCTTGACCTCCCAAGGTGACGCGGAGACCTGCAGCGCTGATCCCATGTATCCAGGTAGCCTAAACAAATGTCTACAAGCCCTGATAACCACTAATTATCAAATATATTTGTTTTGTAAGGGAAACTGATGGCATAATTCGGCCTTAAACTGTTCGCAGAGAGCCGCCATGGACAAGGATGTCTGCCTCAGCCCAAGATTCAAATCTCGAAAGTCTATTTTTTTTTTTTTTTTTGAGATATATACAAGAGTTGCTACATTCTTCTACAGCCACTAGTACGCGTAGAGTTTCGGGCAGGTCCCTGGAATACGATCCCCTGTCGCGAAGAATCGTTGTTACAACCAAGTACACATTTTATTGTTGAGTTAAACAGAGGCTACAGTTAAGGATTTGCGCCCAGTAAATCCTCCCCGGCCAGGATACGAACCCATGACAAAGCGCTCGCGGAACGCCAGGCGAGTGTCTTACCATTGCACCACGAGGACTGGACACGGAAATTCGCTGGAGTTTATGTGCTATATCTGGCCCCCAGTGACTGTGATTGGCTTAGATCTTCACAAATCAGATGAAATAAATGCTATATAATACTTAACATTACCCGGCCCTCAATAACAGACCTTCTGAGGCCGAAGGTGATATAGGAGAATAGACACAAGACACTGTACATAACATTAACTCATAAACAAACCCCTGTGGGACGAAGGTGACATCAAAGAATCGTTAATGTCAACAAAGGGATCAACACAACAGGAGGTCCCTGAATGTGACCGAGGGTCTATACCAAAGGTTTAGATTTATCAACGGTGAAGTCCTAGCATTAAGGAGACAATCTTATTATAAGACAGCCCGTCCTCCAAACAAAGATCCAAAAGTGATTCCATGCACCCGCCAAACCCCGTTTATGAATGAAAAACGGTTTACACACGACTCAACTCATTTCGTTCGAACACTTCCGGAACAAGTGTTTCACTGACGAATTTTGTTCGAACCACAACGCTATAAATGCTTCACCCACGTACTACAAATACAAATAATCGCCAACAGAACCCAACCACCTAACCTAACCTAACCTATGCCTATATATGCACAATATGCTAATATATCATAATATTAATTTATATTTGAGAAAATTCCTGTTTTAAATGAACAGCATGTTAAAATTTATGAATGCGTCTGTGGGGTCGACCGCTGAATGTAATGGACTTGAGTCGAGGACGGGTTGTTATAAGAACAACAACCCGTCCTCGACTCAAGTCCATTACATTCAGCGGTCGACCCCACAGACGCATTCATAAATTGTAACATGCTGTTCATTCAAAACGGGAATTTTCTCAAGTATAAATTAATATTATATATATTGGCATATTGTGCATATATAGGCATAGGATAGGTTAGGTTAGGTGTTTAGGTTCTGTTGGCGATTATTTGTATTTGTAGTACGTGGGTGAAGCATTTATAGCGTTGTGATTCGAACAAAATTCGTCAGTGAAGCACTTGTTCCGGATATGTTCGAACGTCAGCAGTTGTGAGTCGTGTATAAACCGCTTTTCATTCATAAACAGGGGGTTTGGTGGGTGTATGGAATCACTTTTGGATCTTTGTTTCTAGGACGGGCTGAAGAACAAATCCACAAGGGTCGTGACGAGGATTCGAACCATTCGAACCAGATTCGGATTTGTTCATTTGATGCATCACGTTAGTGTGATCTCTGTGTGTTATTAAAAGAACTTTTAACTGCTTCTCTTACTTACCTCTTAACGACCGTTAACACGTTGTAAGACAAAAATAATACATACTCTACTCTGAAAGATATTAAAGACCCAGACAAGTTTTTTTTTACCAAAATTTACCTGAGGGGCCACTAACATTCTAGTGGCCTCGATGAAGACAGGAAGCCGCCGGCTTGTCAAATGTCCTGCTAACACACAATTTAAACAAATTGGTTTATAAATTCACCCCCTCTCTCCCCCCCCCCCTCATCAAATCTGGGTACTGTCAATATAACATTAAATCCACATTTATAACATTGATCTTACGTTGATTTAATGTTGCTCGACCATATTTTGTTTGCTAAAGTTTTACGTTGTTACAGCGTTATAACAACATAAAATGTCTCTACAACTTTTTAAGTTGTGCAAAACGTTTTATGGTGCACAACGTTATTTTCACGTAAAAATCACGTTGTGAGCGACGTAAGAACGTTGATACAACGTAAAACACGTTGTTAGAACGGTAAACGGTAAACATTGTTAGAATGTAAAACTAACATTCCAGGGACGTACAAACAACTGTGTTACAATGCAAAATTAAAGTTGTGAAAGGAACGTAATTACAATGTGAAAATAAAGTTGTAGCAACGTAAAAAACAATGTAAACTAAACGTCGCGGATACATTGCATGTTAGGTGGATCGTTGATGAACGTATTGGAGCTCACCTGTGATCAACACGCAACACTTGCACTTCCGTCCTCGACAGCCCTTCTTCACCTCCTCCTCGCCAGGCGAACACTGCTTCTTGCAGGACCCGCCACGCTTCTCGCACTTCTTCTTTATCTTACACTCTGTCGGAGGAGCACAGTGTTTCTATGATAGTAAATTTGTGGCAAGGAAAATACAATATTAGAAGCATATTTTCAACCCTAAATTGGAAATTAATTACAATTCCTAGGGACCATCATCTTTGGAATATTTATTTTAATTCTTCCATATGAATAACATATATAATTTGCTCGATAAAAGGAATTAAGAGAGATGAGGTACCTATTCGAAATCTATGAGACAAACAATAACTGCAATTAAATTAAAAGAAAAATAATTACTTGTTACATTACCTTGTTGATCATAGGATTAGATCAAAAAGGTAATCAAATTCTGTCCTAAAAATGTACCTTAATGAGACAACCCTTGGAAACTACTAAAGTTAAGGTCAGTTGACTCACAATGAGGAAGAAATGTGCAACATTCTGAATTTCACGAGAGTACTCACTAGAAAAGACCTTGACAGAACACGAGGCTAGACACTGTTTACAGAGAAAGGGAGGAACACTACTGATTTAAGCAACTAATAATAAAACTAAGATTTGTAAAAATACAGAACAATCAAAATCAGTCTTTGGGTCTTACTGTGAGATATTTGTTAGACATAAAATATTAGGAAAAATCTCTCGGTGCATTTGTTGAAGTTAATCCTTAATATGAGGAATCTCCAAAGCGATAATAAAGAAAACTTAACTTATATTCGCGTCAAATGCTTAGAATAAGAGGTATGACTAAAGTATACAACCCGGCGACGTGCGTATCAAAAGAATGCACCAAGTAGGGAACATTACTTAGCACCGTCTGTGTCGCAGGATATTCAAAAGGTCCTAAAAATCTCTCTGGATGCAAGTGGACGAAAGCGACCAATAAATTATATCCATCACACAACCAACAAAGTGTGTACAACACTTATCCCCACCACACAACCAGTAAAGCGTATACAGCACTTTCCACCACGACACAACCAGTAAAGTGTGTACAACACTTACCACCTCCGGCCACGCAACACTTGCACTTCCGTCCTCGACAGCCCTTCTTCACCTCCTTCTCGCTGGGCGAACACTGCTTCTTGCAGGACCCGCCACGCTTCTCGCACTTCTTCTTTATCTTACACTCTGTCGGAAGAACACAATGTTTCTGTGATGGAGCGTGTAAAGCAAATCTGTGGGCATGAAATGTTTATTGTTTTGGAATGTAGTCCTGCATTCCCCTATTCCTGCATATAAGAGTCATGACTCCCTCTTTGTATATAACTAGAAGAAATTTTGGGTTGATTTTATACACTTAGGAGGAAGATTTACGTGGCATTTGGGAGAAATTGCGATTTTTGTTCATTTAGGATGAGGCTTCAAGTCTCCTCCGTGATAAATATGGCGGAGCGGAGAGAGGAGGGATTTGCCGCCCAGAGGGCGAGGATCCCGGTGCATTATGGGAGCGGCGCCAGCCGTGACGTGACTAGTCGGTTACAGGGGTCTTGGCGCAACCCGTTCTCGCAAATTTAATAAGTCAATATTGACTTATTAAATATGTGCATAGGTGACATACTTAACATAATAGATACCCTTAAAAAGATTCATAAGATATGTTGACCAGTGGCGTTGCGCCCCGGGCGTGATGCTGCATGACGTCTGGCGCCCCTACGCGAAAGTGCGAAAGCAGAGCTGACTGGCTACCAGGGTGTCGAGCTGAGCTGAAGTGCGATCCTGAGCTCACCTATGAGGGAGACGTATAGGCCTCCAATGGGTACAATTCGGCCAGCTGACATGTACCAATTACGGGGAAGACCTGTCATCTGTTGCGGGAGTATTTTGGGCAGAGCTTTTCTGGTGTGAATATGACACCAGGGGCTAGGTGCCGACAGTGACCTGAGAACTTCGTGAAGTGGCGCTAGAAGTGTTGGACATTCCTGCAGGCTGCACACGTCAGAATCTGCGTGGGGCTGAATCGATAGCAGTCCTGGTCTGCGGAAACTCAACGATCGGTTACCCATGCGACGAGGCTGCGTGTGAGGCAGCGGACCAGTGTGTTGAGGGTGTTAGTCTGGGTTAGCCATGCTACAGCAGTCTCAACTTGTCATTCGAGGAGGAATATCTGGTTAAGGAGCAACGTCCGACGAGGCACGAGCAAGCAGATGGCCCGATCGTGGATCTACAAAGAGCCTATCATCGCAAAGTGGAATCTATGACCTGGAGTATCGGTTGATAAGGTAGATAATTTTGCCCTCCCATTTTTCCCCCTTGTGTTAGGAAAGGTTGTACATAAATAATGTGATAACCTTGAATTATGTGTGAGGTGACATTGGACTTATTACCGTAATATATTAAATAGAAGGTTCCAGTGATTATATCTTAGAGTGGCTTAGGCAGTAGTTTAAAGTCTAAGAGGCTTTACATCTATTTATGTAAAGTGATAGCAGTGTTTGCGAAAGTCTCAGGCGGTTTTGGGGCGACAGTGAAGAGTTGCCAGATGTAATACTTTTAGAAGTGTTTCCATTAAATGGATCTGAGGCAGATTCTGCCTATGCCAGTGTAGAATGAGTGAATCCATTGATTTTATTAGCGTGTTTACTTACTCCTCCTCCATTCTCGTTATTATATTTTGAGAAAGTACTGTGCACCACGCCATTATTGTGAAGGTACTAGACTGGGGGATTTAAACACACCACTGAGTTAAAGTATTACATGGCCGCGGAGCAGAGCGAGTCAAGTTGACGACCTTGAATAAATACCTTTATGTCGGGCAGGTTGATCTGGGTAAACCTTGAGTTTCCGTGTTCACGGACACCCCAGCAAGGAAATTAGAGAGTCATTAAGTTACCTCACTCCCTGTGGGGTAAGGCCGGGTTCGGTGATGGAACTCTGCCTCGTTGGTGACTAAGATGCTCCCCAGTGGCACCCAAAGGGGGAGGGGGGGAGCAGGGTCCCATCAGCGAGGAGTTCTGAATGGAGGGTTCTGAGGTACTCCAAGAATTCCGCCGGACTGGTTGATTGGGAGTCAAGACCCGCTACATCAGTATGAATTCTTGAGCTGAATACCAATTAATCTGGAATCTTTGCAGCTTGCAAAAATACTGGTTCACGAACCGAGTTGTCTTTTAAACAACTTTCAAATGCCCTGTTCTTTCTGATCATTGTTCCCTAACTCACTCGATTATCCATATTATCAACTACTGTCTCCCTGTTTGTTACCATTAAATCTATCGTATTTCCAAGTTGACACTGTAATGTATTGTTTGAGAAAGCAGTCGCCAACCTTTTCCCAAAAATAGTATGCTTTCCTGTTACATTCTTCCAGTTTATTTTATTAATATTTAAGTCACCTACAATGCATAAGTTGTTCTTCCTATAGTTGGTCGAGATATTTCAGCCCAATATACTGTACCTCCATTCTCTTCTGTCCAAAATTGGTCACCTGTATGTTAATCCCACTTTAAGTTTTTATTAACTAGAGTAAATCATTTTCATATTCGTTATGAATTGGTTTTTGTTTTATCTTTACCTGTTAGTACATTTAATATGTTCCTTGAGACAGACTAATACTTCCCCTTTCACTGCCTTTGAGCAGTCTGCAGGCAGCAATATTCCAGGAACATCAAAAAAATCTCGTAGGCTTGAGGCAAAGTGAAATTCACAACAGTTGCTCCATCTATCATCATTCTATTATACAGGAAGTACCGCACGTCTATGGGTCATCCAATAAGGTTAGCAGACTTCTAGATGTCATCACTGCTAGGCTTAGGCTCGGCTACAAGTACCTCTGGGAATTTGTAACATCTGCTGATGTAGATTTGACAAAATGTAAACTCTGTCAGCAGAACTATTCGCATACTTTGCGTCATTATATTATGTAATGTGAAAAATCGCGGAATTCAGAGATAACACCATCAATGGAGTCCAAGAAATGTGCAAGTACTTCATTCATAATGATATACTATCAGGAATCTTAGCGAAGCACCCAAAATGTGCTTACTGTAGGTAATGCATGCACATGACTGTAAAGCTGCCGCCCAGTTGGGTGGGTGTGGAGCACATGACTGTAAAGCTGCCGCCCAGTTGGGTGGGTGTGGAGCACATGACTGTAAAGCTGCCGCCCAGTTGGGTGGGTGTGGAGCAAGACTAGTAACTGTGTGACTCATAATAGATGTAAAGTGCCTTGTATAGTGACTGTTGTGAGCCTCTTGTTGAATTACTTGTGATACAGAAGATTATCGATGTGTATATGTATTCGTGTAAATGATTGTATATATATGTACATGTATATATGCCATTAACAATTGTGTAACTAGCTTCAAAAGATTGTAACTTGCTTAGCTAAACGAACTATGGGGTTCAGTTTCTGAACCCATTATGTACCTCTGTAATCCTTTCCACTACCGCCCACGGGATGGGTATGGGGTGCATAATAAGGAAATTGAAAAACTTGCCAAATATGAAAGAATGAAACTATTGTTTCATACTTATAAAACAATAGTTTCATAAGTCAACTTAAGAAATATGTCAGAATGAAACTATTTTGTCTTTTAGCATGAATTTGAGCTTGACGTTTCTTGGGTCACAATTTATGCTGTGGGATACCTACCATCTCAACAGTCAGCGGGTACTACGAGGCAACCGTGAGTGTGTCTGGTATCCGATTAGTGTAATTATATGGAACTCTTATCATTGGATATATGTAACATGTGATCCTTACCTTTTCCCGCTACACAACACTTGCATCCCTTTTCTTTACAATCCTTCAGAAATTCGCTTTCATCCTCTGAACATGTCTTCTTGCAGGATCCTCCACGCTTCTTGCACTTGCTATTGGTGTTGCATTCTGTAAATCTTGAACAGTTTTACAACACATAATTTCTCTAAAAATCTATAATTCACACTTTCCTAAATCAAAATACAGTATCGAGATGGATTAAATACAATTAGAGTACATGTATATACACACCTGGGTCGAGAAGTTAGTTACTAGGGTCACCTTCATTGTTAAAAATTTGCTTTAGCCCTTAATTACGTTCAAAATTAAAGTATTCTTACTGTTGGTCCGGAAGAACGCTTCACGGTCTTATTAACCCTCCATAGGTTGTTTTTATTTAGTGGCCACGACGGCATGATTTTCGGATATGTCCAGGCGTTCCCGTGGTGGGGTAAATCACAAAGCCTGGTCGCAACATACACGTCATCTGTCTCCGGACATTACTGTACATTGCGGCAGATTAACTAAGCTTTGGGGAGCCCCGGAAGACCCCTCGGAGACCCTTGGAGTCCCCAGAGAGGGAGCGCTGAACCCCCACACCCGCACAGAGCAACCCGGCCTCCCACTAGGCTGTTTAAAGCAGTGGCCATCCTCCCCAGACGCTTTCACCAATTTTAAAATACTGTGTATTAAAAATTGTTTTGTTCTCATCTATAGATTAATATTATTATACATTAAAATTTTATGAATAGTTAGGCGTAGGTTAGATTCTGTTGGCGATTATTTGTATTTGAAATTTAAAATGCGTGGGTGACATTTGTCAACCCGTCCTCGACTCAAGTCCATTACATTCAGCGGTCGACCCCACAGACGCATTCATAAATTTTAACATGATGTTCATTCAAAACGGGAATTTTCTCAAGTATAAATTAATATTATAATATATTAGCATATTGTGTATAAATAGGCATAGGTTAGGTTAGGTCAGGTGTTTAGGTTCTGTTGGCGATTATTTGTATTTGTAGTACGTGGGTGAAGCATTTACAGCGTTGTGGTTCGAACAAAATTCGTCAGTGAAGCACTTGTTCCGGATATGTTCGAACGTCAGCAGTTGTGAGTCGTGTGTAAACCGGTTTTCATTCATAAACAGCTGGGGTTTGGCGGGTGCATGGAATCACTTTTGGATCTTTGTTTGGAGGACGGGCTGCATTTGTAGAATTGTGGTTCGAATAGAAAACGTCAGCGAAGCACCTGTTCCGGAAATGTTCGAACGTCATTAGTTGTGAGTCGTTCGTGTGTACACCACTTTTCATTCATAAACAGGATGCTTGGCGGCTGGATTATTGCACTTAGGCTTTTGTTTATGAGAACTGGCTGCACATAGAACCAGCAGTAAGACTATCGACACCAAGTGACCCCGGACGGTAAAGCGTCCTGTGAATTCTGGGTAATCGAACAAGTTGCGGCCGACCGGCAGAAACGAGACGACCCTCCTCAGTCCGTCCTCCAAACATAGACCCAGAAGTGATTCCATGCACCCGCTAAACCCCCTGTTTATGAATGAAAAGTGGTTTACACACGACTCACAACTGCTGACGTTCGAACATATCCGGAACAAGTGCTTCACTGACGAATTTTGTTCGAATCACAACGCTATAAATGCTTCACCCACGTACTACAAATACAAATAATCGCCAACAGAACCTAAACACCTAACCTAACCTAATCTATGCCTATATATACACAATATGCCAATATATTATAATATAAATTTATATTTGAGAAAATTCCCGTTTTGAATGTTAAAATTTATGAATGCGTCTGTGGTGTTGACCGCTGAATGTAATGGACTTGAGTCGAGGATGGGTTGAATGGACTTGAGTCGAGGACGGGTTGTGTCAGAAGGATAACAAAAAAGGAGCAAATAATGGTTGTCAGCAACATAACAGGTGCAATGGTCTGGGTGTCATTTTCATGATAAATGTTGTCGTGTCGAATTAAGAGGCGACGACGATCGGGAGATTGGATGCGCCCCGGAGTACCTGTAAAGGGTTAATCGCAAAACCTAATGGCGAAACAAATGACGCGGACCACCTAAAGCAAATATGCCTCACGGCAAAGAAACGCACAGGTACACCAACACACAAAACATAGAAAAGACACAGACACACACTCCCAACATGGGACGCAGCCCTCCATTATTCCCAGTAAGCATCCAACTTCTGCCACTTATCAAGGTCACCCCCCTGTGGACCACTGGAGCGCGACGAGATTGAAAGCGAACAAGGAGAAGACCCAGCCGGCTCCATCATTAGTACCAAATCGTGCTGCACACGACTATCACCACCAGGGTCAACAATTCCCCACCTGAGGTACCGACAACCGGGGGCGGTGGGCAGGCAGAATCAGGCAAGGATGCCCCCCAACCCCGATTCTTCACCACCCCCACCTCTTCCTCTCCATACACAGGGACCAAAGCGACCATATCACCAGGGGAAAGCAACCTGGCAGACCCTTTCCTACGTTTCTGTGTTGGAATCAGGTCATCCGAAGACAACGCTTCTGTAAGGTGACGAGAAGGACGCACATCCATAGTAGACAAGGCAGCCGCCTCAGGAGACTAGGAGGAAGCTTCCACTGCCACAGGTACTGCCGGAGCAGCACCCACCTCCGGAACACGCACCACATCAGACGAGGACGGCTCCCAGGGTGCCTGGACCACTTCCACAGAAGCAGGCACAGCGTGGACTTCCACCGGCACCCCCTGTCACCACATACGTCTCAGGAATAGGAACAGCCACACACACACACACACCGGCGAACCGGAGCGCACCACGTCCACAGTATCATCCTCGACCCCTATACACAACGACCCGCCATCCGAGACCCCTAGAGGCACCACAATATCCCTAGCCGATCCTCCCTCCAACACATTCTGGGTCGCAAGAGGAGGGAAATCATCCTCCCGGAAGATATTTTCACGATCGGTCGCAGCCACGGCACACGCAGCTGCGAGGTGCCCCTGCCAACCACAACGAAAACATGTACGGGGCTGCCTCTTATACATGCAACGGAGGGTAAACCCCATCAAGGACAGGGACGATGGAACACTACACTACGGGCCCAGGACATCGTCAGGGTACGGGTCCTATCAAATATCCCAGCACAGTTTCCGGCATAGACTGTATTCCACCGGACACTTAGGACCTTTCCAAACCAGCAGAGCACCTTAGTCAAAGCTCATACCCTCAACTCGAACGGTGCGCTCCGCACCGCCACGTAGGTCAGAGGCATACTCAGGCTCACCACCCGAACGACACCCACACCATCAGGCAGAGGGAAAGAGGCCCCCCCCCTCACACTAACGGAGGAACTCTTGAAATACAACTGCCCGGTGAAATTTAACCATCGCCTGGCGATCGTTTAGCAACTGCACGCCCAACAGAGCCCCCAATTCAACATGAAGAACGTCCATTAAGGCAACCTCCAACCAAGGTGTGGTCAACAGACACGGAAAATTTCAACCCTGCCAAGGTGTTCTTTTCAACGGAGGCATAGAAGCTCCCATTCTAAAGCGAAAACCGGTCCCTCGCACCGCGGGGAACCACACGGGCCGCAGCGCCGCAGCAGTGGCTCTTGTTGTTCCCCAACCACCACTTCCATGCAGGAGCCGGCGACTGGTGGAGTAATACCACGGAACAACCACCCTCTCTGGCGGCCTAGCCTGCAAACTTCATGATAAATAACAGCAAACAACGATATAAGATTTAAACATAAAAAGGAAACTAAAGTCCATATGTCAAACGCAATAGAAAAGTTGAATTTGGTTTTAGAAACACCATAAAATATTAGTCTAAGTGTTTGAAATAGCAGAAACTATAGTGTGTGTTAGTAACAGCAAACAGTAGTCTGGGTAGAAAATAATATTTTTGGGTAACAGAAAATAAGACAACAATAGTCTGGGCGTTAGAAAAAAACTCCCAGAAAACAATAGTTTCGGCATCATAAACTTAACAGAAAATAATTGTCTATGTATTAGATAATACTATGTATTAGATAATTATGTATTAGATAATAATTCAACAAAAGGAGACACGACTCACCTTGTTTACAACATTTACAAGTCTTGCAGGTGTTGCTGGAGTAAGTTTTGTATAGCGATGGACACTCCTTGTCCGGACTGACGCACCAGCCGCCATACCTCTTACAAGCTTCCATGGTCTTTACACACAGGGGACCTCCTGCCCTACCTTTCCAGGAGGTCTTGCCTTTCCAGGCCTTATTCTTTCTATAGGCTCCAGCCTTGTCCTTCTTATTCTTTCTGGAGGCTCCAGCCTTGCCCTTCTTATTCTTCACGGAGGCTCCAGCCTTGTTCTTCCTACTGGAGGCTCCAGCTTTGCCTTTCTTGGCCTTCTTATTCTTCCTGGAGGCTCCAGCCTTGTTTTTCCTGGCGTTCTCATTCTTCCTGGAGGCTTCATTCTTGTTCTTCCTAGTAGAGGCTCTAGCCTCGTTCTTCCTGCCCTTCTTATTCTTCCTAGAGGCTCCAGCCATGTTCTTCCTACTGGATGCTCCAGCCTTGCCCTTCTTGTTCTTCTTAGACTTCCTGGAGGCTGCAGCCTTGCCCTTTCTGTCCTTCTTAGACTTCCTGGAAGCTGCAGCCTTGCCTTTCCTGTCCTTCTTAGACTTCCTGGAAGCTGCAGCCTTGCCCTTCCTGTCCTTCTTAGATTTCCTGGAAGCTGCAGTCTTGCCCTTCCTGTCCTTCTTAGACTTCCTGGAAGCTGCGGCCTTGCCCTTCCTGTCCTTCTTAGACTTCCTGGAAGCTGCGGCCTTGCCCTTCCTGTCATTCTTAGACTTCCTGGAAGCTGCGGCCTTGCCCTTCCTGTCCTTCTTAGACTTCCTGGAAGCTACAGCCTTGCCCTTCCTGTCCTTCTTAGACTTTCTGGAAGCTGCAGCCTTGCCCTTCCTGTCCTTCTTAGACTTTCTGGAAGCTGCAGCCTTGCCCTTCCTGTCCTTCTTAGACTTCCTGGAGGTTGTGGTCTTGCCCTTTCTGTCGTTAGGCTTCCTGGAGGCTGCAACCTTGTCCTTCTTAGACTTCCTGGAAGCTGCGGCTTTGCCCTTCCTGTCCTTCTTAGACTTTCTGGAAGCTGCAGCCTTGCCCTTCCTGTCCTTCTTAGACTTTCTGGAAGCTGCAGCCTTGCCCTTCCTGTCCTTCTTAGACTTCCTGGAGGTTGTGGTCTTGCCCTTTCTGTCGTTAGGCTTCCTGGAGGCTGCAACCTTGTCCTTCCTGTCCTTCTTAGACTTCCTGGAAGCTGCAGCCTTGCCCTTCCTGTCCTTCTTAGACTTCCTGGAAGCTGCAGCCTTGCCCTTCCTGTCCTTCTTAGACTTCCTGGAAGCTGTAGCCTTGCCCTTCCTGTCCTTCTTAGACTTCCTGGAAGCTGCAGCCTTGCCCTTCCTGTCCTTCTCAGACTTCCTGGAAGCTGCAGCCTTGCCCTTCCTGTCCTTCTCAGACTTCCTGGAAGCTGCAGCCTTGCCCTTCCTGTCCTTCTTAGACTTCCTGGAAGCTGCGGCCTTGCCCTTCCTCTTCTTAGACTTCCTAGAGGCTCCAGCCTTGCCCTTCCTGCCCTTTTTAGACTTCCTGGAGGCCCCAGCCTTGCCCTTCCTCTCCTTCTTAGACTTCCTGGAGGCCCCAGCCTTGCCCTTAATTTTCTCCTTAGACTTTCTGGAGGCACGTCCCTTGCCCTTCCTGGCCTTCTTAGACTTAACAGAAGCTGCAGTCTTGCCCTTCTTGTACTTCTTAGACTTCATGGAGGCCTCAGCCTTGCCCTTTCTGTTCTTCTTAGACTTCCTGGAGGCACCGGCCTTGTTCTTCTTCTTGGAAGCTCCAACCTTCCTCTTCTTCCCAGAGCCTTCAGCATTGCTCTTTTTATTGAAGGCTCCAGCCTTGCTCTTATTCCCTGAGGCTCCAGACTTGTTCTTTGTCCTGGAAGTTCCAGTCATACTTTTCTTATTGAAGGCTCTAGCGTTGCTCTTCTTCTTGGAAGTTAAAGCCTTGCTCTTATCATTTGAGGTTGGAGCTTTGCTCTTCATACTGGAGTTTACAGCCTCGCTGTTTTTCCAGGAGGCTCCAGCTTTACTCTTCTTCCTGGAGGCCTCAGCCTTGGTCTTCTTCCTGGAGGCTCCAGCCTTGTTCATCTTCTTGGAGGCTCCAGCCTTACTCTTTTTCCTGGAGGTTCCAGTCTTACGTTTCTTACTGGAGGTTCCAGCCTTGTTCTTCTCATTGGAGTCTACAACCTTGCTCTTCTTTCTGGAGGTTCCAGCCTTGTTCTTCTTCCAGTAGGCTCGAACCTTGCTCTTCTTCCTGGTGGATTCAGCCTTGCTCTTTTTTATGGAGGCTGCAGCCTTGGTCTTCTTACTGGAGGATTCAACCTTACTCTTCGTCCTGGAGGCTCCAGCATTTGTGTTCTTATTGGAGGTGGCAGCCTTGCTCTTCTTCCTAGTGGCTCCAGTCTTGCCCTTCCTGGCATTTTTATTCTTACTGGAGGCTCCAATCTTGCCCTTCCTGAACTTCTTATTCTTACTAGAAGCTCCAGCCTTGATTTTCCTGCCATTCGTTTGTATCCTGGAGCTTCCAGCTGAGCTCTTCTTCCTGGAGCTTCCAGCTGAGCTCTTCTTCCTGGAGCTTCCAGCCGAGCTCTTCTTCCTAGTGGCTCCAGTCTTGCTAATTTTATTGGAAGCTTCAGACTTGCTCTTCTTCCTAGAGGCTACTGATTTACTCTTCACCCTGGAGGCTCCAGCCTTATGTTTCTTACTGGAGGTTCCAGACTTGTTCTTCTCATTGGAGGTTTCTACCTTGTTCTTCTTTCTGGAAGTTACAGCCTTGCTCTTATTCTTGGAAGTTCCAGCCTTGCTCATTTCGCTGGAGGTTCCAGGCTTGTTCTTCTGACTATTCTTTTCCTTATTCACCTGAACACTGCTGTACTTCATATTATTTTTATTTCTAATATTTTCTTTATTGGTATTTCTTTTATTTATTGTATTTCCTTTTTTTCGGTTATTTTTATTCTTTCTCTTATTCTCTTTATTTGTCTTATTCTCCTTATTTCTCTCACTTTCCTTCGATATCTTATTGTTTATATATTTCTTGATCTCTTCACTTCGTCCGTTATTCTTCTTGATTGTCCTCTTCTTTTTCCTCGTTTTAGACGCGTTTATTTTTCTTGTTCCTTTTTGTCTTTGTTTACTGCTTTTGTTTGTTCCTTTGTGGTTGTTAGTTGTTCCTCTGCCTCTCGTCCTCTTCTCTATTATTGTTTCCTTTTTATTGTTCCTCTTTCGTTTTATCTGAGTAATGTCTTTGTTTCTCTTCTTTTCCAATTGTATTTGGTTCATCTTCTCTTCGTCCTTTAAGTAATTTGTTTGTTTCATCTTTCTTGTGTTGTTGTTTTTTCCTTTACGTCTTTTCTTATTGTCTCCTTTCCGTCTGCTCTTTCCCCTAATCTCTTCATGTTTTTCTTGTTCTGTTTTCTTAATGCCAATTCCTTTGTTTTTATTCTTTTTCTCTTTAGGAAACTCTTTATTTTTCATTTGCTTGTTCTCTGTTTGGTTGTTGTGTTCTTTATTATTCTTAGTTTTGACATTTTCTGTGTTTTCTTTTGTTTTGGCCGTTTTCTTGTTTATTCCTTCCCGATGTTTTGCTCTTGTTTTCCTTTTATTTCCATTCGTTTTTGACTTGTCTTCGTTCTTGTCATTTCTATTCCGACTCTTGTTATTTTGTTCTTCTTTAACCTCTTTATCGCTCGTGTTCTTCTCCCGTTCTTTACTCTTGACCATTGTCTTGTGTTCTGTCTCGTTTCTGTTCTTAACATGACCTTTATTCTTGTACATTTTAGTGTCATCTTTCTCGTAAATTTCTCTCTTAACTGATTGATTGTCTTTCTCATTTTCGTATCTTTTTCCTTGCCTGTTATTATATGTTTTCTTGGGTCGTTTTCCGTTGCTACCCAGCGAGTCCTTGTGTCGTTTTCTGTTGTTACCCAGCGAGTCCTTGTGTCGTTTTCTGTTGTTTCCCAGCAAGTCCTTGTGTCGTTTTCTGTTGCCACTGAGCGAGTCATCGTGTGGTTCATCACTGATGGGTCGTTTCCTGCTATTGAGTCTCTTGCGTGGAGCCTTGCGACCATCCTGGAGGCTTCTGCTCCTGTGATCATCACCGGGGAGGCCTTCCTGGGTGTCTCTCTCAGTCCTTCCTGGTCCGGATAGCTCAGGCAACCCGGTACCTATGGTTAAATATAGTGACATGAAGAACTGTCTACCCGGCAGATGTATCCATACACCATGATGGCAGCAACATTAACGTTTAGAACATATTTACAGTTATAGTTGGAGTGATATTAATATGGGGATGGGTTTATGTGGACAATTTTTTTTTATATAAAAGCCTGACAATGTTTGCCTAAATTGTCCACGTGGAGACGATTAGTTAACTGGTTCTGAACCCCCAATACTGTAGTTCTGTGTTTAATTGTTGTTCAGGGAGCAGGATTAATGCCTAATTAAGCAAAGTTTCTGGAATTAGCCCAGGAACTGGTCTTTAATTTGCTTCTTGGGTGGAATTGAAATTTAAAAAAAGGAATTCTCTCCCACGGTGACGGAAAGTGCCATTGTTGTCACTCTTGATACAAATTATTATTCTGACACATTTTGAGTTTAATTGTAGTTATAGTAATTAACCAGGGACAATGTTGACATTCAATAAAGTCTGGAGGATCTTTGTTCAAGGGTTAAGAGGAGCTAGCCTAAGCATATCCACTAAATATCGGATGTATTTAAGGTACATCATTTTAACAATTCTGACACTGACACCATAGCCTGCAACAGCCTTGAGAGCTCTCTGAGCCTCTCTTTATACTGAAGCTAGAGGTGGCTGCTAGCCATCGACTAACTCCTTTGTTTTGTGTAGAGGGCGAGGGTGTGACGCTTGTCTAATCTTACCTCCTTTGATGCCTTTAATATCCTTCCATGCCTGGCTGAGGAGGACGGTGGTGGTATGAGACTCTTAAAACAATTTCTCAGTTAACTTAGCTCTATCATGCTCATCCTCGCTGTGGCTAGAGCTCTCAGAAATATTACAGGAACAACCGTGGACATCTTCAAGAGGAAACTAGATTGTTTCCTTCAAGGAGTGCCGGACCAACCGGACTGTGGTGGGTATGTGGGCCTGCGTGCCGCTCCAAGCAACAGCCTGGTGGACCAAACTCTCACAAGTCAAGTCTGGCCTCGGGCCGAGCTTGGGGAGTAGAAGAACTCCCAGAACCCCATCAACCAGGTATCAACCAGGGTCTGGCGAACGGGTTCTCCTATATGCAATACCAACTCTTGTAGAACAAAATGGTAGAGTTCAGATGTGAACAAAGTCTTGAGTGGATGTTTAAACAAGTGACGGTAATGGTCCCGTCACCTTCTTCTTGCAAGTCCCGACTTCAACAAACAATATATAAATTAGTCATTGATGCTTCAAACAATATTTTCTTTCGTCTTCCCCCAAGACATCAAAGATCATATTCAATAACAGAAAACGACTTTAGCTTCTATATTAAAAATTCAGAAGCTGAACACATATTTGAGTAGACCTCTTGTTATTGTGTACATAAACCACAATCTTTTTATTTACACAATCTACACAATCTCGTGTACTTTTTCAGTACACAATGAACAAGATTAGAAACAATTAACTAAAAAGGTTCGTTATATGAACAGTATGTATCACAAGTTTAATACATAAAGTGACGTTCTGTTTATATTGACAAATACTAGACTAAACTATGGGAACTTTGCTCTACCCGCAGAAAAGTATAATTTGTTGAAGCACCCTGTGGAGGCCTGGTCGACGACCGGGCCGCTGGGACGCTAAGCCCCGGAAGCACCTCAAGGTCAAGGTAACCCTGTAGTTATGGGGAGAACCCTCCGTGAAACATTGTGTGTTACTGACAAAAAATGAAGAAATAAGTTAATTTGATAACTAAATGAGACGAGAATGTGTGGCGCCTAAGATCAAAGGAAGTCAATGATCTACAGAACTGTCATGGAGGGAGTCGACAATATACTTCCACACACAATATGAGAATATTCACACAGGCATTGGAAGTATATTCAGATAGGCTCTATGAGTATAGGTAGGTAAGCATCAGGTGTATACTCATGTCGGCAAAGTAAGAATACTATGAGAGCAAGAGTAAACTCGGTGTAAATAATGAAGTATACTCACTGAGACAGCAGCGAGCACCGGTGGGGCAGTCATCGTAGTTAGTGAGTGAGGTGAGGCAGTCAGCCGGACCCCACACACACACACCTCCCCCTGTACCGCACCTCTCTCCCGCACCTCCTGTCTCTAGCTCCTGTAAGAGGGGAGAGACAGTCACCCGGACCCCACACACACACACACGTTGTGGCGTTCTGGAATTGCCACGTAAGATTAGGTCACGGAAGAAGGGCTCCTAACTCTACCACAAGAGAATGTACACGTCTCAATCTTTCCATGGAACGTAAGACAACTTCTGTGAAGTTACTTATAAAGGTTCTCAAACTCATGGCAGAGAAGTCTGTCTGAGGATATGTATCAGGGGTTGAGGGGTTTTATAAACTGGATACTGAACTTAACTGATACTTTACATACCGGTGAACAGAGGCCCAATCATTCCCTGATAAAATAACACCGACCACGGCAGCCACACTGCTGCTGTCGTCAATCAATCAGCAATGGACACTGGAGTACATATAATAAGTTGGGAGATTACCTCTGTAATCACCTTACACTTGGAGAGGGGTTCAACGTCACCTTTATTTGGAGGGTGCTGCTCCAAACTGGACAATTGGTCATGAATACACGCCCTCTCGAGCCGCCGTGACTCCCCCACACTCTCCTTATTATGGGATGATCTCCTAAATTCTCTTCATGATGTTACTGACCTTTGTCAACCAATTTGCAACCGTGTTCTCTCTCTTTCTCATTATCCAGGAAGCCTCACCAGCACAAGAGCAAAAACCAGCTGTCAACAAACATTTATTACATGAAAACACATACAAAGAAATATATAAGGATAATATTACAGTACAGCACCCTAGGCTGCTACTAACTGGTAACACTCCAATATCATCTCAGGTCTTGAGAGCACCTCCATTGAGGGCTATTAACTTTCTCGTGGTTTGTATTTCTGTGCCTTAGTGGTGTCTGGTTTTAAGGTTCATAAGTTCTCTGCCTCTCTGTCCTCTCTAATGTTGTTGCAGGTGCCACAATTTTTCCATCAGTTGGTGGTCTTTGTAATTGCTGTTGAAGATTGATAATGGCTTCCCTGTTGAAGTCGAGTTGCTTCCTTCTTAGATCAAAGTTAATTTTGATCTAAGTTTGATTTAATAATTTATTTTTACTAGCGGGTCATGTGGTCCCTATACTGTCGATCATCTGTTTCTGTGGTCTTTATACTGTCGAATCTCTCTCTCTCTGTTGTCCCCTATACTGTCGAATCTCTCTCTCTCTGTTGTCCCCTATACTGTCGAATCTCTCTCTCTCTGTTGTCCCTATACTGTCGAATTTCTCTCTCTGTGGTCTCTATACTGTCGAATCTCTCTCTCTGTTGTCCCCTATACTGTCGAATCTCTCTCTCTCTCTATTGTCCCCTATACTGTCGAATCTCTCTCTCTCTGTTGTCCCTATACTGTCGAATTTCTCTCTCTGTGGTCCCTATACTGTCGAATCTCTCTCTCTGTTGTCCCCTATACTGTCGAATCTCTCTCTCTGTTGTCCCCTATACTGTCGAATCTCTCTCTCTGTTGTCCCCTATACTGTCGAATCTCTCTCTCTGTTGTCCCCTATACTGTCGAATCTCTCTCTCTCTGTTGTCCCCTATACTGTCGAATCTCTCTCTCTCTGTTGTCCCTATACTGTCGAATTTCTCTCTCTGTGGTCCCTATACTGTCGAATCTCTCTCTCTGTTGTCCCCTATACTGTCGAATCTCTCTCTCTGTTGTCCCCTATACTGTCGAATCTCTCTCTCTGTTGTCCCCTATACTGTCGAACCTGTCTATAATCCCTGTAGTACTTATATGGGCACACAGGGGGCTTCTGTCAGTACAGAGAGGAATTAGTAAATTCACGAGTTTACCGACAAGTAGTTTTAGTAAGTAAAGTATTTAATGGTTTTCTTTAGTTTCCTTTCCTCTAACTATATGACTTACCCGTTGTCCGCTGACCACAGTGTTGGAGGCGAGGAGAGCGAGGACGTACTTAAAAACAAACCAGACCGTCGCCATCACGTTCCGGTGATGTTCTTGTGGGACCCTTGCCTGCTGCCTCACCCTCCACCACTGTGCCACTGTCAGCGTCGACAGCCTTCCTCCCACCACCGCTGTGCAACTGACAGTCCCGAGAGGCTCTCACTCTCCACCACTGTGTCAATCTTCAATGGCCGGCTGTCACCGCCAGCTCCGAAATACTCTCAGCCACCAGCACTGTCCAGATCTCTTGTTCTCGCCCGATGTCACGCCAGGAGCGTGTTCCCAGTGACGGCCGCAGGAACAGTGTTCCTAGTGACGGCCACAAGAACTGTTCCAAGTGATAGCCATAGGAACAGTGTTTACCAGACGTGCAGTAGAGCTGGATGCTTATGAACAAAACACCTGTGACACATTTATCTGTCAGTGCATCCGACTGTCGTGTCTGCCGGCAAGCTCGCATGCAGCCCCCGGAGCATGATGATGCAAGGAAGGCAGTAAACATTCTTCAATAAAAAATATATTACCTAAACGCGTGTCGCTGCGGTGTTTCATCGGGAGATTGTGACCCAAATTTAAGTCACACATACTTTAAATTTTCACACATTCGTGTATTTTGT